TCTCAATGCAGCAGTGCTGCATCCTTTGCTATTCTAGATTTTAAACCTATTAGAGGAAGCATGGGTATAAAAAGCATAAGACGTACACACTTATAATGAAAACCCTAAAATTATCACAGACAAGGCAGTTCGGCTTGACAATAGTAAACTGTCGGGGCGTCTCACGAGAGTGTCGGCGACCACGTTAGCCATGTTCTCAATACTCTTCATTGTGAAATCGTATTTCAGGGTGCACCGAAGCGGGGGAACAGCTCAATGATTATCCAAGCCCTGAAACCCCTTGTAAATTGCAAGAATGCCTGATAGTTACCGCTGGTCGGTTCCAGCGGGGCAAGTAGAGTAAAAAGCAGTAATTTGGAATTTGGAAGAGCCTGAAGCCTATTGGAAGGGAATAGAGTTTACCGATACGTCAGTAGCATTGGCTTTCAGGAAGATACGACGCTTATAATCGGGAGGTGCGAGTGAAACGGGAGTTGTGGGAGGACGATGAGCGTCCTTACTGCTCCATCAGCCTCATGTATCCACTACATAAAGTTTTCATTTTCTAAAGTAGGTCACTCAAAGAGAGCAATTCGAGCAAATTCAGAGCTTAAAATATGGTAAGACAAGATGCAAGCTTACAGGCCCTCGCAGCATGCTTACGGGTGAGTTAAGGTAAACGCCCCGCCTTCATTCCTCTAAAGTTCACCGGATCTGATTTAATTCCTGCAACCGAAACATGGAATCCCACAAAGCGTGTTCTAACTAAAAACAAAGGCTCGGGTGCCCTCACATTCCGCCACTTGCCTCACAACAGGTGAAGGGGATGTCGAAGGCACTGTAGTTATGCTTGAATGGTCCGGCCAAATACTTACACAACATTCACGTGGACAGCCATCCACCCTTTCTTTGCGGGCTCGCAGGAATGCCGATCTTCATGCATTTTCCAGTTTAAAAAGCATACAGGTAGACTCGAATTTGCGAGTGCGAGCTGCCACGCGCCTTTTGTTCCTCTCATCTGCGAGGAAGGGGATTTGTGACGGGGTGTCTGTGAAGTTGAATGTCGAATAGGCCAATTTTTTCGATGTGGTTTGTTAAGCAACTGGCCAGCATGAGGTATTTGAAGCTTCTGGTTTACAGATACTTTTCAGGAGCTTAGAATTGACGCGCATGCACCGCAGTCCATCTTTTTGTGGCACCAACCCTGGGTAAGGTTCAACGGCACTGTTCGATTCCTTATTTTCGCATTTTCCAACAATCCTCCAACTGCCCACTATTCTCACATTCGTACTGTAAAGGTCTTGTGTCCTGCAGAATTTCAGTAGAGATTGACCATGGTATGGACTCAGCACGATGCGCAGGAAAAGGATCATGGGGCCAGCCTGCTGGCAGCTCGTCTTTGGATAGTACAGCCTCAAACTCATCCTCGATGTTGCGGATTCTTGCTGTTCCTTTGCTCTTTGGAAGCCTTAATACAGCATTGCTTTAAAAGTCGTGAAGATCGCGTGCATGCTCAGAACCGTCTTTTCTCAGAGTGCCGCTGAGCTCTCCGTACGACGACCCAAACTCCCCTTGTTGAGGTACCAACTCTACCCTGTTCTCTATTAGTAAAATGAGCGCTGTCAAGAATATTGGGAGGCGCTTATTTGTGACGTATCCTTGCACACGCAGCTCCACAGCGCGGCGTGCCACCGTTTGGGTACACAAGGTGGACTTGGAACTCGTCATGATGCACAGGCCCAGCTTGGAAGCCCCCAACCGTGCTAATATAACACGCTTCCAAATTAAAGTGACATCAGAATGCTGTGGCTTTGCCAATATATGTGTTATGTGCCTTTCACCACAACAAAGTCTCAGAAACTGTGCGAACGCGTGAACTGGCAAACTGCACTTCTGCGCCGTTTTCTCGAGTTATATCCATTTCACACCCAGTGTCAAGTCACTAATGCAGTTCTTGGCCACTACCGCGAATTCGCATGGGCGCAGAATCGATGCGTGCTGGTTCTCCAGCTGCTAATATATCCTCTGAGGCCCCTTCACAGCACCGTAGAGTCCGTGAGGGAATTTCCGTTTCCCCTATTCGCCTCCTTGCTAATAAGAATGCTTGCTTCGCCGGATCTAGTCCCCTTGTTCAAGTTTTTCAGGGTGTTGAGTGCATTTGTAGTTTCGGATCTTACAAGCCACTTTCCCGCTATGGAAGCAAGCGTGTCGTTGGGAAACTGATTCGGGCTGCTTGAAAGAGCGGAAGCCCTCTGACACTTCTCTTCGTTCACCTTGGACTGTAGGCTAGGGCTGTTTGAAAGTCCCGACACGTGTAGGTTCTGAGCCCCAATGTGGCTCTTCCCCTTTCCAGCCGTTCAAAACACTCTTTCGCCACTTACGCCTAAAGTGGCCTAATATATTTGAGGAACTAACGCAACGGTCAATTGTTAACTCTCAAGTCGCTGCCGATCATGCGCCCCACTGACATGGCACTTCAGGTAGACCTCACGGAATCTACTAAGAAAGCAGCTGTTTGCCTATGTTGTGGCTTTCGTAGACTACAAGTTCATATTTTCGGATATACTACTTATTGTGCTGTTCGTCTAATTTACCTTTTGTAGTTATCCCAAAGTTTGCTGCTGAGCTGGGCTAGGCGTAAGCCGGTTAGTCATTGCATGCATGGCAACCGAAACTGTAGCATTTTCCTGTAGGCAGTCAACTCCTCTGTCTAAATAAAGCCACCACTGAAACGAGTTTTCCTTTAATAAGCATGCTGCGAAAAGCGGAATTTTCTCTTGGGGGATGCAACGCGATTTGCATGTTCAACCGGCTGGTGAAATCTGCGAGTACTTGTCCGTCCTCAGGGCCTTCTTGCTTTTCTGGCCTTGATATTCCTCAGTCATGCGTTCATAAATATTTTGTTAGCTAACAAAGCAAGCCTTTCTACAAGCTGTGAGGCTGAGCCTTCGCATCAGTTTGCAGGCCAGCCTCTGTCCCTGTCAACTACTGTCGCCGAAGGGTTTTCAAATACCCCGCTGTTGCCAAGGTGAATGAGACTAACAAATTACTAAATTGTCTGCTCAGAGCTAAAGAGCGGCTGTAAGAAATCCAGTCACCCACTGCATCCACAGCTCGGCGATGAGCAGGGACTGCATCAAACCATGCGAAGCACCGCATTGTAAAAGTCCATCTAAAATTTTTAAAGAAACAAAACTTTTCTTTGAGTTAACGCAGATTTGATAGAAACTATCGGATTTTCCGGAAAATCCTCCTCGATTCACGTGGCTTGCCCCTCACAGTTCCAGCCTAGGGTGCGCATAGCTGTATCTTCAAGGCACTACGAGCATTCGTAGGTAGCTGTACATACCATCCACCACCCACGCGCACAACATTGCGTCTTGTATTGAACTTGCACTACTCTGCAGTAAAAACGCATGCGAACAGGTAAACCAATTAGTCGATTTGTTACTATTTTTTGTTCAATATAGCTAGCATAGTAGAATATACCCGAATGCAGGTAGCGAAAAAAGCGCTGCTGCCTATTAAGTTTCAGTTGAGTCTGAAAGTGCATGCCTTGCTGTGTAGTCCTGTGATGGTGGGAACGTTACATTGTCAGGTATGTCGTTTCTAACTTCTTGCTCATGCCTTTTAGAAGACTTGCCAATCGACTATGCTGCATGAACCCCGCTATATCAGCATGCCAAAATTGTCTTGTGAAGCGTGAAGACACGGCTGGACTAGTCTCCGCATTGAGCTGTGTCGATGTGCCTTGGTTTTCACTCTAGAGTCGCTGGAGGTCCATGTTTTGGGGTGGTGTGACGGCAGCGAGGCATCGTACCGCCGTGAACGTTTTGTGGTGTTTATGTCTATGCCGTCTGGCCAGTTTGTGTAGCTCCTTTGGCTTCTTTTCGTTTAAAACTCGAATGTCTACTCTTTTCCCCCTCGCAGTGGATTTCTCCTCTCTACGAGCCTAGGAAGTGACTATAAGGCGGGAGGTTTTCTACTGTTCCGTGTGTAGCTGGTCTCAACTGCTTAACATAAAACAGAAATTTATGTGCTCTGCAATGGGACACCATGACGCAGCGGGTCAAGCTGGACCTAAACACTCTCTGCTACACCAGTGTACTCTGATAGGAATTTATTAATAGATGATTATTTGATAAAGATGTTCGTACACCGTACGGGCTTCAGAGTAGGGCAAACTCAGCATGCTGAGAATTTACTTCTTTTGTGTTTGGGTTTGATGCTTTGCGCAGCTATTTTGAATACCGAGAGGGATTAGTGAATAAAGAAACGTGCATCCTAGATATCCTTCGCCCCGTATTCCTAACCCCTGTAGGATGAGGGGAAGGGGGGAGGACTGCTTTTGAAAAGGCACCTAATGCTCCTTTATCTAGGTATGTATACAGCTTGGCGTGTTTGCCTGTGGAAATCCTAGGTGGAGCCCTACAGCCAATCTCTAGTACTGCAATTTCGGGTGAGGCCTGAAATGCAGCGACTCGCCCAAAATGCTTCTCACTACATGATTCTAGTGGCGTCTAACCCCTTTTACTGGCCTTCAGTGATGGCTTACCTGGTCCTTCTTTAGACCTTTAAACGGGTACCACTGGGTCGTATCAATGTGATCCATAATCTCAAGTGCCAAGGATGTGTATACTTCCGGCTCAAAGGCGCCTCGCGCGAGAGCGGAGAGAAAGAAGGACTGGAAACCACCATCAAGATGTTAAGTGACTTAGAACTTCCTCACAAAGGCTATAGGTAACATTTTTTCATGTATATGGGGCTGGTTCAGTGTTCCTTGGCCACATAGACCGACCTCTTTAGAGGGCCCCCCATACCAATACTACGCAAGACTGGAGGGGGCCCCCTGATCGACCCTAGCGGATATGTATCCACTCTCTAGGACAGCTCAGTGCCGTTTTATTTGTGATACAGCTGGTCTTTCTTGGATATGCAAGACCAGAGGCTATTTTTGTCTGGCTGGTGTGCTTGTCGTGTGTTTCTTTGTGGTTGAGCGGCAGCAGCCGCATCAAACAACCATGGCGCTCTACTCTGTCATCCTTCCTACTTATAACGAAAGGGAGAATCTTTCTCTGATAGTTTATATGCTATATGAGACATTTACTACTCAGTGAGCCAACCCCGAAAGACCCTGCACAGCGACACTGGTGTGCGTCTCACCACTGCCCTCTGGCATAGAGGGTGGACATCAGAGCTTACAAAGGCGGTGTTTTGACAAGGACTAGTGCATTATAACAAGGTGCATCCGTGCCTGCCTACACCAGGGAATACCACTGTCGCAACTGGCGGATCTGCGGATGAGACGGAGAAGAGCCCATGAATGAACGAACAAGGGTAGAGCCTTTGCGTGTTTTGCCATGCCGCTGTATGGAGCTGCTTCTGTTGCTGTCGCCGCAGCAAGCTGAAGTTTGAGATCCTCGTGGTGGACGACAATAGCCCCGATGGCACTGCAGCTGAGTATCGTCGGCTGCAGCAGGTCCTGGACCCCGAGAGGCTGGTGAGAGAATAGTTTGGTGCGCGGTGCCTCTAACAAACAGCGGGATGACATGTCTGCCCTAGCTGCTGCATAGATCGCCCTCTTAGTTCCAGGCAGACTGCTCGATTAAGCACTGGAATACGGTGGAGTTCAATGTGTTGCCACGCGTGCATCCAAGATACTGCGTGAAACTGATACTTAGCCAGCTGCAGCACCAACATCAAAATCAGCGGAAAATACTGCAAACTGAACTTCGCAGCCAGCGTTGCCACCAAACACAACCTTGGTTGATGCTCTACTTTTGTCTATGCAGATGCCCTCCTTCTGTGTGTATGCTCCTTGTGTTGCAGCATTTGCTGCAACGCCCTGGAAAATTGGGCCTTGGTAGGTGACTTCGCTGTTGGGAGGCCACTAACGTTCAAACAGGCGCACGCGCAGCTTGAGGCCATCCGTCTCACATATTCCTGTAAACCTATTGGCTGTATCTACCCCTTAGAGGAGACCATGCGGCTCAACGTGTGAAGATTTTTGACAGCGTGTTCACAAGTGGATCCGGCAGGAACTGCATGTATCCAGACGGACTGCGCCCAAGCTGCATTCTATTTCGAGTCGCAACGCGTGCTTGTTTGTGCATTCGAGGGTTTAGGGCTGAAATAAGGCATGGAGGAGATCGCTTGAGCATCGGCTGTCACCCAAGGGGGAGAGGAAGCTACCAGAGCTGGCATATATACATAGATATAGATCTTTCCTGCTGTCCTCTGTGCAATGCAGGCTCCGCTTATGCAGATGGCCTAAAGCAAATTAAGGGGAACTTTGTGATCCTCATGGATGCAGATTTCTCCCATCACGTAAGCTACCAAGTCGCCATTGGGGGGGGGGGGGGCCGGCAGGGTCTTCGCCGCTGTAGCTCGACTCCAGCATTCAAAGCAGATATGTTTCCGGAAAAAAATGTTGTTGATTCCGCTTTCTAGTATAGCCCGCTTTTGCAGTAGCTGTTGCCTTCAGAATGTATTCGCACGCCTGTGAGGCTGTTGTCGTTGTTACTATGGGCTCCCCTATCGCAGCCCTTTGTCTTTGTTGCAGCCCAAGTTCATCCCAGACTTCATCCGGTGGGGCCTATAGGGCGTTCGCAAAATTCAGAGGGCCCTCCAGAGATGCGATGGCCCCTTTCTCGAGGCCCTCGGTCTCCCTTGAGCTCCCATGCTCTCTGGCGCCTCCCCTTCTCTTTTCAAGCATCCTGTTCTTGGCAGAGGGCTCTTAGGTTCATGCTTTACCCAAGTTTCAGCTTGTCCTATTCGAATCGCTAGTCGTGCTGCTATCCACCTTCGTGTTGGTGCTCCTCTCCTCGTACTGGGTGCTCAGCTCGCTTCCCCAGAAATCGCTTGCCAAGTTTTCCATGAGCCCTGCAGCCGTCGATTCTTCACTCTTCAGGTGCAACTCATGGTGCATCCTTTTCCAGCCGGTTTGGTCGCTATGCTTCGCAGGAAACAAAAGGATACGAATTGTGATGTGGTGACGGGCTCTCGATATATTCCAGGTCGTTTGGGACACACAGTGACTGAGGCGGCTTTACTGCGTCTTTACAGCCTGCTGCAGCTCGTTCTAAAGCGTCATGAGGGCCCGAAAAGCACTCATCTTGGCGCATCGCAGTGTCTCGTGCTCCCACTGTGTCTTCTTTCTACTTCCGCAGGAGGCGCTGTCCACGGGTGGAGCCTGCGGCGCAAGGTCATAAGCCGAGGTGCAAACTTCCTCGGTATGCCGTCATCGTCTATGCGTTGGTTCTGGGTGATGATGTACCTCGGGACCGTAGAGGGCCTTTTCGCGCCATTTCAACCCTACTAAGCTGCCGTTAGACTCTGCGATTTTTTGCTCAGCCCAGCTACTTCTTGATCCGGCGGTTAGCGACTTGACGGGCTCCTTCCGGTGGGCTCTTGCCTCTCGTTTCGGCCACTAACCCCTCCGCCTACCGATAAAAGCAGTCTTCTCTCAGTTCATTCAAAGCCCTCCCACCTCCTTTTACGGGCCTTCCTCCTGTGCTTGTCTTCCTCTTTGTCTCCCTCACCATGCGTTTGATCTCCCTGTGGCTCGCTCTACTCTAGAGTGAACGGCTTTTCGTGGAACTGCAGATGTTGGTTTTACATACGAGGAGCTCTCTGCTCCTCTCGCGGATGAATTTTTATGTCATATGTGTGTCCTGCCGCCCCTAGCTTGTTTAAGCGGGAGGTCCTCGAGGCGCTGATGCCCAAGATTCAGTCCAAGGGTAGGAAAGGGGTCCCACGCACGCAGATTTCAGCTCCCCACACACGTCCTTCGCAATCACACACTGTCAAGAGATGTCGACATCTGTCTACATGTTTTTTACACGGTGGGCCGGAGGAAGGCGCGAACCAGTTGTGGAGGACGGCCGTGCAGCAGGCATCGTGGGGCAATACACGGGTGCCACAAGGGGGATGAGAAATGATGGGGGGGAGAGGGAAGCAAGCAGATGGTTTCAACTGGCTGTCACTCCGCCTTCTCAGGATATGCATTCCAGATGGAGATCATTGTGAGGGCCCGTGCCTCCGGTCTCAGCATCGAAGAGGTTCCCATCACCTTTGTAGACCGGATGAACGGGGAGTCCAAGCTCGGTGAGGCCCCAACCCCTATGCTGCAAAGCTTCGACTTTAAAGGCTAGCCTTTAACGCAATACGACTGGCTTGCCTGCGGAAATGGCATCGGTTGGGCTTTTTGGTCTCCTAAAGTTGCTGCTTCTGCGATAGTCCTACATCTGACTCTGACACCAGGATGCCTTTCGTGCTCTGGATTTCCTTTCGTGTTGCTGTCCTCGTTGTCCCCACTGCAGGGCAGATGGAGATCGTGCAGTACCTCAAGGGTCTGCTGTACCTTTTCTGGAGTGTATAGACTCCTGGCGTTTCTGGGAATTGTCAGTTTCTTCGAGGGGAAACTGCAAAGAATAGGCCTACACTTCTTTTTTAGTAGCAGACACCTAAAGGGGAAGTTCGTAAAACTGCAAGGGAAGCTTATGTGTGCAGAGCTGCTGTTGCTGCTTGCTGCCTCTTGAGGGTAGCACACTGCGGGAGAAATCTAAGATGTACTGCTGGAACCCCAAGGTATCTGAGGCCCCCGGGGTGCCTACTCCGCTGGAGTGGCCCGCATGCACGGGCAGGTAGGAATTTTCGCGCTCCCAGTTTCCCAGCTTAAGGCATCAGACAGTCCTTTAAGTGCAAATGCAGCTCCTAGTATAGTTTACAGTCAGACAGAGACACTATGTACAACGGCACCTCCAGAGGCCGTTAGCTGCATACCCTGCAAAAGGAAGCTCTTTCGGCGCTCAGAACCCCTATTCTGTTAGCTACAGCACTGTGCTCGGAGTGCTGAGTCTGCCGAAGAAACAAGTCGTACCACCACGGATTCTCTATATTCATCCTTCCTATCCGTAGCGAGGCCCCAGGTTGCTAGCGAAGAATTTGGGTAACTAGTTTGCCAGGAGGAATAGTAGCTAGGCACAAAGTTGAGCTTATCGCTATCCGTGCCTAAACACAAGGACGTCTACTTGTCCTACGTGCAGATATACCATGCATTTGACTTGGTGCGTAATAAATGCCCCAAAATGCCTCCCCACAACAACATGCCACGCCCCAGAGCACTTCTTCTCCATGGCTTCCTTTATAACCAGCGCAAGCTGTTGCCACAGTCTGATCTCATTCTTCAGAAGTGACCCGTACCCCCGTCGCGCCGCCTCAACTGCTGCCTCCAGCACATCCTCCGATGCATCCATGCCCATCACGTGCACGGCAGGTGTCCTATCCGGGGGCCCACTGTGCGGGTGACCGTGCAAATCCTCAGACATTTGGGCTGCTCGTGGAGCTATACGCACGACTGAGGTTGACAGGACGGGGAAGGAGTCTGGAACAGGAAAGTCGGTATTACGCCAGACTCCTATGGACCTCCCTAGCCTCGTATCTATGGGGGGACCCTTTTGACACTGCAGAGCCCTGTACTATGCGTGCGCGAGTTTTACAGTACCGGCTGTAAAGTGGGGAGACAGCAGGGGCAGAAATGACTTTTGGGGGAGTAACGATAGCAGAAAATGCTTTAAATGGTGGGATACCTTCTTCGCTTCTGTTTCTGAAATGTCGGTGGTTCAAGAAGACTCTGTAGCAGCCTGTGAAGCTCGTCTGGTGTCACAGCTTAGATGCTTTCCCTTCCTCTGTCTCTACACCCCTTGCTATACATTTATTTCTTTGTATCCCCTTGCTGCCCCTCTCGAATTGCCGTTTCTCTGCTATCGTAGGCGCATTTGGCTGCGTCATTCAGATGCTGGGAAAGATAAACCAAGCGATCTGAGGCGCGTTCATGCCGCCTCACGTCACTTTTCTTCAGAGTCAGCCACTGGTCTCCCACTGACAAGGCAGCAACCCCTAACGCCCGAAACCGTCGCTCTGTACTCAGTGACCTGGTAACCGGTGAGACCGGAGAAGGACTCCCGCAAGAAATAACATCAAATTGGTCAAGCTGTAGCTAATATGAAACGCAATAATGGGATATTTGTCAATAAAGGGAGGCGAAGTGGGGAGAACCTACGCCCCTAAATCACCGTTGGCTCTTGCTGGGGTGTAGAGCCCATTTCACATCTGCAGCTAAAGCACCTAAGGGCATAGATACATGTATGTGAGGAGCGCGCGCTCGTCAGCCTTTTTATTTGAGACAAAACATGAGCACGTGCTGTCGGGGAAATATTACTGCTGCCTGTCTAGTGCGGCCCCACCTCGGGTAAACGTATACTGCAACAGGACAGGCTGCTGCTGCTGTTCTGGGGTGCAGCGGCGATGCATTTAGGCCCTTTACTTCTTCCTGCATGTTCTTTTACACACGTGTCCTTTCTCTTGTCTCCTTCTAACGCGTCGCCAGTACCTCCAGTCTGTTAGCCCCCGAACCGACTGTCGGCGCTGCGGCTGCCTACGCACCTCAAGTTGGCCACGCACCACAGCGCTACGAACAAACCGCCACGCCATCTTCGTACCCCGAATGCTTCACTGCTTATGCGGTGTCTGCACCAAGAACCTAACCACACCTAACTTCGGAGGATCAGGATCTGCTGCTGTGGCGACACTCGCAGCAGAGGGATTCGAGCCGTACGACTTCTCGAAGGATCTCCAGGGCGATTCTGGTAGCCTCCACCACGGCTCTGACTGCAGGACACATCCTGATCCCTGGTAGCAACATCAGCGGGGGGCCTTTGGGGAAGCCAACAGAGAATGGATTTGGCGATTCGTTTCAATGGGGAGCGGCACTTGCTGCGGCTGCCAGCCGGAGCAACTGTTGAGGAGCTGCAACACCATGTACAGCAAGCTACACAGCTGCATCCTCAGCAGCAGCTGCTGCGCTGGGGCTTCCCTCCAAAGTCGATCCCAACAGAGCAGGGTCAGCGGCCACTGTCTGACTTAGGCTGCAGTAACGGGCAGCTCATCTTAGTCGAAACAACAAAGCCCAACGCGATCGGTAGTCTGAACAATGGCAGGGTTGGCGGCAACTCCACTAGCAGTGGCTCCTGTGCATCTTCAAAGGCAGTCTCCCCAGAAGCACCCACATCGGCCCCCGCCGCCCCTACACTTCGAGACTTCGGGATTCAACAACAGCAGACGGAGCCGCCGTCCGCTTCGTGCGAGCTTCCTGCAGGCGTATCTGGTGCATTGCTTGAGTGCCTTGAGGCTTCGGCTGCTGCCGTCGCTTCGGCGCCTCGGCCTGCCGTCTCACCCTACCCTCCCGGGGGATACACATTTGTGCGGCTGCCCGTTCCAGCTGACGACAGTTGTCTCTTTGCCTCCATAGCAGTGGTTGCAGTGCCTTCAGTCTCTTCGCAGCAGCTGCGAGATGTGGCTGCCCTAGGAATCCTGAAGAACCCGGATACGTTCTCCGAGGTTGTTCTTGAGATGCAGCCTCAGGACTATGTGTCTCGTCTGAGAAACAGCCGCACATGGGGAGGCTACGTGGAACTGGCGGTCCTAGCTGAACAGCTGCGGCAGCAGATTGCAGTCGTCGATGCAGAAACGTGCAGACTCGATCTGTACGGAGAGAAGTACACGACTAGGAGGAGCTATCTTTTGTACGATGGTATCCACTACGATCCCCTAGTTGTTGTCGCTTCTCAGGGCAGAGATGGCACTTCAGGGGCGCTTCAGAGGCCTTCGCAGTCCTCCCCTGCCGACATGCTGACGGTATTTTCTCCAGAGGATGCAGCTGCAGCAGCCGCCGCCTCAGCCGTAGGACACGTGGTGCAGCAGCAACAGGGCTATGTTCGGGCAGGCGGGATGCTTGCGAGATGCCTCGTGTGCGGTGAACTATCAAAAGACAACGAGGCTATGCGGGCGCATGCAAAGGCTACGGGACATCAAAACTTTGCCCACATTCAACAGTAGCTAGCTCCCGACACCACTGTTGTTGCAGGTGCAGCCGTAACTGTGTTTGCACCTGCAGCGAGTGCGTGCTAGTACTGCTGTTGCCACCAGAAATGAAGGGTTTGGGATATCGGAGACATAAAGGCCTGCAATGAAGCGTTGTGCTTCTTCGTGCGGGGGTAAATTTCACAACGCTCCACCTTGCTCGTGCTCCTGCGGTTGCTGCCGCAGACTGCTGCTGCTTCGGGGGATGCTGCTGGTGGGCGGGTGTGCTGCTTGTCTCTGGTAGCTACGAAACTGTGAGAGGGACGTAGAGCGTCACCATCCTCTTCTTAGGGCGGCTGGATTCGTAGGATCCAAATACCACATATTACAAGCAAAGCATGCGCCACCCAGACCAGAGTGAAGGAAATCAGTTTGCATTAGCCCGCTGCCTGAGGGACGGTCGCTACATCTATAGAACATTGGGTGCTCTGTCCCTGTCTAGCCAAGTCTAGAGCTACATATTCGCAGGCAGTGGCCTTTGAGCCTGCAGCAGCAGGCTAGAGCCTGCTAGAGCCTTTGGCAGGGGCGCCAAGGCGCAGCCCACACAAAACAGTCCTCTCATTGCAAAGCTCAGGATATGTAGCTGCTGCTGTTCTAGAAGCAAGAGACAGCTAGGAAGTGACGCCCTGGCTAGCCAGTTTTTGCAGTCATCTTCTCAGCACAACCCAGCGGTGGAAGGCCAGCTGCCTCTCACTCGCTCTGCATGGCCTCCTGTGTTCACGCAACTAGATCGCCTAAAGCCGGAGTCTCGACTGCAGCTTCGTGGCCCTTATGCTGCATGCAGTCTGCTAACTCACTAGCTAGCAAGGATGAATTGTCACGGTTCCTGGTCTCCGTAGTCTAAGTGAAGTTTTCTGAGCAGCGCGTTGACGCGTTTGGCTGTTTCAGCGGCATTCGCTTTCTTCTTTTCCCAGTGCTGCAGCAACACGCGAACCTCCAAGTCTCGCTCCCGGGCTTGCTGCTTACTGACACGCAGCTGCTCTGACACCGTAGCTAGCTTTTGCGCTTGCCGTTCTAGAACCTGCTTCTGCTGCCGCTTTTGCTTTTCGTGCTGCTCGCGTTCCTCCTCCAGCTGTTGCTGTAACTTGCGAAGCGCCTGCTGCTGCTCAGCCTGCTGCTGTTGGTGCTGCTGCTGCTCCTGCACGGCTTGCATCAGCTGCTGCAACTCGCGCTGTGCAAAATCCAAGGCCTCGTCCTTCTGCTGCAGTTGTATCTGCTGCTGCTGCTGCTGCTGCTGCCAGCGCTTCCTTTCTTCCTGCTGCTGCCGCTCTGCTGCCGCTGCGGCCTCCACGGCACCCTCAACCTCTTCACGGTACCGCTGCTGCCACTCGCGGGCTCTGACACACAATCAACCGACAAATTAATGGCAAACGCAAGCAATGAAGCGGAAAATTTCTTCTGAACACACAGCCGGCAGCAGCAGCCGAAAATGCCCCTGCTCATTCCAGGGACCCTTTCTGCGGAATGTGCGAATTCTGTGTTTTACGGTCTAGACTTTGATGCTTAAGGTCTCTCTAGCGTTGCTTCGACGAACCGATCTGCATATTCTTGCAGCTTCCTGTCGAGTTCCTTCTCGCGGCGCCTGGCAGAGGCGTTGGCATCCTGCAACAGCTCTTCCTTCTGCAGCAGCGCAAGCTGTTGTTGCTGCAACTTCTCCTCCTGCTGCTGCAGCACTCGCGCATGCACATCTGCTGTCTGCTGTGTTTCTTTGGCACGGGCTTCTGCTGCCTGTTGTGCTGCAGTTGCTGCTGCAACAGCAGCTTTCAGGGACTGGAGCTCAGCTGCGGGTGGCAGCACGTGCAATTGCTGCTGCTGCTGCTGCAGCTGCTGCAACTGTAGCTGCCGTTGTTGTAGCTGCTGCTGCAGCAGGTCACGTTCGCACCGCAGCTCGCGTAACTGTTCTCGTGGTGCCCATATACTTTGGACTTCATCGAGCTCTTGCTGAAGCCTGGCGATGCGTTGCAACAGGTGCTGCTGCTGCTGCTGCTGCTGCGTATGCGTGGCTTCCGCTGCCGCAACGGCCTCCTGAAGCTGCTGCTTGTCTTTCTGCAGCATTCGAGATTCCTCCAACGCGCGCTCCAGCTTGCAGCTGATCCGATGCACAGACGCCTTTAACTGCTTCTCCTGTTCTGCTGCAACATGCATAGCTCTCCTAAGCTCCTCGTTCTTGCGTTTGGCCTGCCGTAGTGCTTGCTGCTGCTGCTCTGCTTGCTGCTGTAAGTGTTGTTGCTGCTGCTGCATTTTCTGCTCGGCACGCTGCAGCTGCTGCTGCAGGCTTTCCTGCTGTCGCCTTGCTGCCTCTTTTATTTCTTCCATCGACTGACGAAATGCATCCTCTAGCTGCTGCAGCTGCTGCTGGTGTCTGCTGCGCTGCTGTTGCAGGTCCTGCTGCTGCTGCTGCTGCTGCTCCTTTGCTCTTCGGTCATGGCGCTCTCGCAACAGAAGCTGCTGCCGGTTTGCTGCAACGAGCTCATCCTGTTGCAGCACTGTTTCTTCCTGCAGCCGCTGCACACGGCTCCAAGCCTCATCCCTCTCTTCCTGCAGCTGCTGCAGCTGCTGCACGAGCTGTTCTTGGTGCTCCCTCAATGCTGCTGCTGCTGCTTGCTCCTCCTCTTGCTGTTGCCGCTGCTCGTGCTGCTGCCTCTGATGCCGCTGCAGCAACTGCCGCAGCTCCTCGACCTCATCCGTGTAGGCAGCCAGCTGGCGTTTAAGGTGCTGAAGGGCTTCTTGCTGCTGAGTCTCCTGCTGGCGCTGCTCTTGCGGCTGACTTTCCTGCTGGTGCTGCTCTCGCTGCTGACTCTCTTGGGGTCCTTCGTGCAAAAAATTGGCATCCAGCATTTTCACGTGTACCGGAGCAGCCGCTGACGATGCTGCTCCGAGCGCTGCTAATTCTGCAGCCGCATCCAGTTCCGACTTTCCCACACCCTCTTCAGCAGCAGTGCTACCAGCCGCCATGGGCTTCTGCTGCTGCTGCAGAGGCGGTTGCTGCTGGGGTGCCTGCTGCTGCAGTAGTTGCAACGCGAGTCGCGCAACTTCTAGAGCGTCTCCAGCAGTGCTACTCGAGCACATGCAGCTGTTGCCGCTGTTGCTCATAGTGTTCGCATTGCTGTCGCTGCAGTTTCGGCTGCAGCTACCGTTGAGTGTACTACACTTTTGAGGCCACGCGCAACTAGGCCCCGATTGAGCGGCTTCAGAGGGGACCCCAGACTCTTTTCTCGCACTGACGCCGCCTGCTACCTCTGCAACTGCTGATGCTGCTGCTGCTCCGTGTGTCGATGCAGATGCAGTGCCCTCTTGCTTGCCAATTGAGTCAACGGTCGTGGAGGCTGCTGCTGAGCCTCCAGCCGCTGCTTCTGCGGGAGGACTGGCATCCGCAGAGGGTGCATGCGCAGGCGGTTGCACAGCAAGACACTGGAGCAACTGAGCTCCTGTCAGCTGATGCAGCGCTGCATGCGATTCCCCAGAAAGCCGCTGCAGCATCAACTGCAGCAGCGTCTCTGTGCTCTCCAGAGCAGCTTCTCCTCCGGATGCAACAGCTTCGCCAACAGCAGAAGCAGCAGCCGTCGAGGAGACACGACGCCCCGTTACTTCCAATGTGGTGCTATGGCCAGGCAAAGACTCTCCTGAAGCTTCGCGTGCTGTGAGTGCTGCAGGTTTGGCCTTTGCGCTTGCTGTTCTCGCTGTTGCTGCTGCAACACCTGCTGCAAGCTTTGTCTCTTCAGCTAGCGCTCTTTCATGTGCCGGTCTTGTGGCTGTCGACCTTGCCTCTACGAAAATCGCTACATCACGGGTTGTCGCTGCTGTTGCCGTTGGTGCTGCTGCTGCCTTTGGTGCTGCTGTTGCTGTTAGTGTGGCTGCAGCCTTTGTCAATTTTGTTGTTGCTATTGCTTCCGCTGCTGCCTTTGGCGCTGCTGCTGCCTTTGTCAACGTTGTTGTTGCTGTTGCTTCAGCTGTTGCTGCTGTTGCCAGATCTGCTCCTCGTGCTCGCCTTGCTGCCGCACGCGGCCCGCAAGAGCTGACTGTAGGAATTCGCTGCATCAAGAAGAGCAACAGCGGCACAGGAAGCGATTACATGCAGGCAGCAACAGCAGCAGTACCACATAGAGCGGCAGCACCCGCAAAGGTTCTGGATGATCAGGGAGTGGCCCCTCTTCCTCAGTCCATGCAGGAAGGAGGCATGGAATGAGCCTTCAAAGGAGGGGTTGGAAGTGAAGTGCTGCATACCCGAACAGGTGGCGCTGGCTTTAGCTCTCGCCAAAGTAAGTCTAGTTCGTTCTGCTGCGCAAGAAGGCCGCCACTGGTGCTCCTGCCATAGGCAGAAGCTGCTGCTCGCTCTTCTGGAGTGACTGCGATGCCATCCAGCTCTTCCAACAGCGGTGCGCACAGCAGCACGCATTGGCGGTAGGCCTTTTCCTGGCATATGAGGTTGCCGTTGCTGTGGCTGTCAGTGCTTTTGCTGCTAATGGGCGGAGGTGAAAAGGCGAGTAGCGCGCCGTCCTCACTGAGCGCGTGATTCTGCTGCTCCTTCCGCAGTTCTTGTTGCTGGTGCAGTGCAGCTGCAGCAACACTCACGACGGGGCCGCAACAGAAGAGATAGGAGGCCTTTAAGGGAGATCCACCCCCGCTGACTTATAGAGGTCAAGACTTTAGGGAAAAGACATCTTGCCTTCTTTGTGTTGAAGCGCCAAGCTCTTTAGGCGCGCTAGCCCCCCCAAGAAGAGGAGCTGCCGGAAGTCTGTTAGACGGTTCTCTCTCAAGTCTAGCGTCTCCAGCTGGTATTCTGGACCCCACAGCTGCAAGCAAAGCGGAACGCCGCCTCTATTCGAAGTCAGAAGATGCATCGGAGGCGTCGTCTTCTGTGGTGAGTGCAGCAGCGCTTTTTTATGCCGGCTCGAGCCTGACAGAGAAAGGGGCCCTGAAACCCCCTGCTCACCTGCTGTAGACTGGCGAGGCAGGTGATTTGATTGAGCTCTGCGCGGAGGCAGCGGAGACTGCACAAGCCACTAAGCCCCTCGACGGACTGCAGCTGAGGCACATATGCGCGAAACGCAGCAAAAGTAGTGACTGTAAAGGCGCCGTTGCTGTTGCTGTTGCTGCGGCATTCGCGGGGGTGGCCGTGGGTGTGGACCGCTGTGCTGCCGAGCGACCCTTGCGACGGCTTCCCTGCTTGTGAGCTTTGCGTGGATTCGATGCAAACGCTTCACGCCATACTCTGTTCGAAGCCACGTCAAGGAGTCGGAGCCTTCTCAAAGCTCGAAGATCTCCCAGACGCTGCAGCAAGTTGGAGGAGACGCGAAGCTCTTCAAGATGCGGTAGGGCGCTCACTCCCTGCATCCAAGGCAGCAACACGCACTGCGAGCACATCACCGTAAGAGGCGTCCTGTGTGAATGCAACGGATGCAGCAACGCGTTTTGCCGCGGACCCGGCAGGTTGAGCTGCAGCAGTTGCGGCAGTGCTGCTGGCTGCAGCCCCTCTGCAGGTCTATCAAGACTTTTTTGCAGCGCAGCAACGGTCAAAAGAAAGGGGCGTTTAAGGCGCGAAGGGGTTTCTTGCAGCGGCGCACATCAAGGGAAACAAGCGAGTTCGCGTGGAGTGTTAAGGTTCGAAGACAACTCAGAGAGGCCCCCTGCGGAAGGCACAGGAGCGCGTCTGATAGAGAAGCCAAACCCTTGCCAATCAAGCGCAAGTGCTGCTGCGGATGTGACGATGGGCGGATCTGCTGTGGTTCGGGAGCAGAAACAGCACGACTCTGTGATGCAGTCGCCTCCTTATCAGCAGCAATAACTCCTGCCGAAGTCGCTGGTGTTGCTGCGCTGCTGCTGCCGGTGTTGCTGCTCCCAGTATCCGCTTCGCGGTGCGGCAGCTGATTCTGCTGAGCGGGCAGCAGCAGCATCAGCAGGAAAGAACCCTCTAAGCAGCTCCTAAGCACCAAGCTCGTAGCCAGCAGCAGAGCAGCACGCAGCAATCACCGTCCAACAAACTGGTGCCGACGTTGCTAGTGCTGATGCTGCCGCAACGAGGGCAGCAAAAAGACACTGCACAGCTATTGTGCACACTGTGTAGGAAAATATTGGCTCTTCTTGCTGCTGTGCGCCCTGTTTCCGCTGCCCTTGTTTCCTGAGGTGCTGATAGTCGTAGGCGTCTTGGAGACTTAGCCGTTGACAACACAGGATGGGCCGCTGTGGGGCCGCTGGAAGGACAGCTGGACGGCGGCAAAGCAATTTGTTGCTCACGCGCCTAACGCGAAGCTCCACAGCAAAGCGCTTTCACAGGGAGTGCGGAGGGGTCTTCGGGGGGGAGGGGGAGGACGCAGGATCTCTTGCAGGGCAGCAGTGGAAGCCGGTGAGGCTCTACAGCCCATGAACTTGACTATTGAACATTGGAACTAAACAAGAAGAGGCAATCGCTAAAGGGTTCGCAGAAAGGGATTCCCCCAGGGCCCCCGTTAGCCCGGGCAGGGGGGCCCCATGTACGACGGCACTGGCCCCTTAGTGGTGGGGTTGGTGGGATAGGCCCTTTTCAAGTAGGCACTCCTCCGCGATCATCATCCCCCCATCCCCTGCAAATCTCTATTATCAATGCGGAGCAGAGAATCCTTAAAGCCTCCCAAGGCGGCTTTAACCGCTGCTGCCGCTGCCGCTGCACAAAGCATCTAGAACTGCATGTATTTGCAAACCGCAATTACCTGCCCCTCTCTTTGCATTCCTCCCTGAATCTCCCTTATCCTCTATACCTGTCAGGCTCTGATTCATCAGGAGTCCCTTCTGCAATGCAGAAGGCATTTTTGTTTCTTCATCTAACTTCAAGAGCCCATTCTTTACTCCGTCTCCACCTTTCGGCAGCAGGCCAAACGCTACATGTAAGCACTTTCCACTAGACTATTCATATTTGATCCAGAACAGTCATGGACTGACTGCGTTTTCCTGCTCTTGTCTAGTTTTGGCCGCGGGGCAAATATGGCCCATGTACTGTGAGTATAAACGGTGTAGCGGGCCAAGCCACCTTTCAGAACTTTCGGCTAAACTTATTATGTTTATATGAAACAAGTGAAGGAATGACCAGTTGCCTTGGCGACTGGTATTTTCGATCCATTGCATAGTCATAATAGCTTGCTGCGGCAAGATTCAATGCTGTGTGCGTATGCGCGAGCTGCTATGTGCACCCGCTTTGAATGTCCGCTCTAAACGCGTAGACGCTTCAGATGCGCTGACCCTAGCCGCCCCTCTTCCCTCATGCCGATGCATCTTAGGGACACGAGCAGTGGAAGGCGTGAGTTTTTGAAAAGTTCTCTGTAACATTCTACTTGATTTGTGTTGAGTGTATAGGCAATTACCCTTCCACCAGGACCTTGGATGGAACGTTATGGTGGTAGCACCACGTGGCTCCATGCAGCTATCCCCCTCTCATCCACAGGCTGTATGCTCAGTGGGATGTCACGTTTCGCTACGGCAGTTTTGGTCTCCACCCAATTCTTTGGGAGTTCAATAATTTAGGTTTTTGCAGCTGTTGAGCTTTAAAACGCTTCTGGAGATGGAAGCTCACTCTGGCACCTCTGCTGGGCCGCAGAGGCCAGCCTGCAAATTGATATCCATGCGGTAACCCCGCAGCTTCTAGGAGGGCAAGATTTATCGGCATGTTAAAAGTTCATTCATGCGTACACGAGGTTGCACAAACCAGAATAGTACCGGGGCCATAGGAATGGGCAAATCCTCCGGTTGGCGATGTGCCTCGCTTTGTGCCATAAGATATCGAACAAGGAGTGCTTCTTGCGACATGCGTATTAGAAAGCAACGCACTCCAATGGCGGCTCTATTCACGCCGAAGAGTTCGTCTGCCTGTAGGTATCACTTTAGCTCAGGCCTTCACGCGAGGCACGACTCATCAGCTTATAACGATTTCAGCTCAGCAGCAAACTTTGGAAAACACTAGGAAGGGACCATCAGGGCAAACTATAGACAGACTGGTATGCCAAGAAATACGAAACTATGATTCTTAGAGGCCATAAAGCAGAACATCTGTTTTTCCAGTTTATTTATCTAAGTTTAACTTGCACTGTCATGTCAGGTGAGGGCAGGAAGGGCAGTGATTCAGCAGTTACACTACAGACCCAAGGATCTTCCATAAACGATTGGCTACACGAGTTCTAGGAGTGAATAAGCGCAATACCTCAGTGGTTGGATAGAAAGGTAGAGCAGCGTCGGAATTTAGAAATATCGATACTGTACCAAGCAGCCCCAGTCTCCACTCTCAGGTGAATTAGAAAAGAAGCCAGATAGAACTTGCGTATTTAAGCAGCCACAGACGGCCTTCCAGCAGCCCACCCATTCCTATTGCAAATAACAGAGTCATACTAGTCTGAAGTGCAAGCGCAGGCAAAGCACTAAAGCACTTGAACAACTGAACTGGGTTCAGCGGAAGCAGAGTATTCGGCGTTATTGGGGGAGACGGCACAGAAATGCAGTCTGCCTGCTCACATGCTAGTGAGATACTTGACAAATTACACTGGACATTGGGCTTTACAGGCGCCTTCGCACAAATCCCCACTTGCGCCGATGCCAGGCACAAAAACCGCGCTTTACACTCGCACTCCAAGCTACCTCTGCCTGTATTCCGCTTGGACTCGTTAATCTCAGCTAAACTGCAAAGGCTTGGTAATCGGGGTGTTCATAGACGTTCATGTGGCAGCGAATACCTTTCTACATTAAAGAAGTTTTTTGTATTTATCCGAATTGTTCAAGTGCAGTACAGCACCAATGGCATTTACTTCAGCTGCTGGGGGCTGAGCAATGATACGTAAAGGCACGCAAGTGTTAGGGTTTTTATGTGAGATCGCATGTAGTTTGGGCATTTTGTGATTTGACTGTCAGACTTTAGCCATAATCCGGCAACTTTTGAAGCATTGAAAGCGCAGTCGTCACCTTTACTCACCCCTAAGGACATTGAGGTTTAATGGGCTTGCTTCCTTTTATGAATATTCCTTTCCTGTTTTTCGGTTCTTTGCTCCGTGTGCCGATCTACATGAAAAAGCGCAATCAAATGACCTGGAGAGAGGAGGCTGTTGCAGCAGAGATGCTTATTGACCTTACAGCTCCTTCATTACTCGCAACGCACAATCATAAGCATCATTTCCTTGCAATACCCAACGTCCATGACGTAGCAGTGCAGGCCATTCTCTACAAACAGGGCACAGCCTCTCTTATGCAACAAATTATGGCCTACTACTCTCTTCGCTACGCCCAAACCGAGCACCGTTATCCAGTGCGGGAAACGAAAATACCATGTGATATGATGGGGAATTAAAAATATTGGCATCACTTATTTGGGGGTCATTTTACTGTCCAGAACGGCCACCAGCATTTAATGTACCTTACAAAGATTTTCCACGACGTGGATGGTCTTAGTGCTGTTCACCGGCGTGAGTGCCTCCTGCAGTACGACTTTGCAGTAAAGCACATATTAAAGGTGTGACCAGCGTGGTTGCCGACGCGTTCCTACAACGCCTCAGTGACTCAATATTGTGCTGGGAAACCGCTTTTGTCCGTGATGATTCACTGTTTCTATCGAAAGTGTTTGAGTCATACACTTGTCCTCCGCAGATCGTATACTATTGCCAAGATCCAGAATGGCTAAAAAGGTAGAGCACTACCACGGTGAGGATGGCCTGCTATGGTTGAAGACAAAGCGAGGAATCTTATGCTCAAACATCCCTTTCGCTCCGCTGTGTAGAAAGTCCTTTGAGGATTTCCACTACAGTGAAAGGGCTCTCACAGTCTTTTTGGTAGCCTGATATGTGTCCAGCAGCACAGGAGTACGCACTGTCATGGCCAGATCGTCAGCAGTTGAGGCCGTGTACTTCCCGCAGACCCTGCCTTCCCAAAGCCCTCGGTTACCAGAAACACTTGAGCAGACCTGACTATGGAATTCACTGGTTAACTGTCGGTTAGGAGAGCACCTAGGTCGCTGTCCGGGCACTCAGCAAACGTGCCTATTTGATCCTTCGCTCCTGCTCTGTCACGGCTTACGAATTTGCTTAATTATTCATAAATCATGCTGAAAACCTTTAAAATATAGCCCAGTAGAATCGTTACGGACAGGGAATCCAAGGTGGCTAGTGCGTTTTGGCGTGCATTTTGACCCGCCTGCACACTAACGCGAATGTGGCCAATGCGAACCAATCTGGGGCAGATAGACAAACAACTACGCACCAACCGCATTCATTTAAAGCATTTGTGACTCTATGCTCACACAATCCAATTTTTTGGCTTGACTTTTTGCCTTGTGCTTTCATGATTTTAGAACGTCAACCCGCTGCTCCCCACCAGCATAAGCCGTTTTATCCGGGCCTGGACCAGGTAATCCAGAATCAATCATCATTTTTCCCAATGGATGGATGGAGCAAGCAGCTGTCTAGTGAACGTGAATGTATGCCCAAAGCTTGAGAGACATATGCATAGAACTATGACGAGCTGCAGTCAGTTGTGTGTATCGAGTGTGCAGATTTGGTTCTGGTGGATCAGTAGACTTTACTGGGTGAACCAGAAATCGCCAGACGAAAAAGGTCATAAAAAGGTGGCTATGAGTATAGAAGAATTACTCAGAGATCTACTTTTTCTTACTCGACGGATTCCTCTAGAAGTTGGTGTCATAGAAATATCAGTACTGGCTTAAAATTTCAAAGCTCCCAGAATTGTTTGCAAACTTTGTCGTGAGGGCAAGTGATCCTTGTGGAGACAAAGAACGCACAGGGATGCTAGATATACTGGATTTCAGGACTATTGAGCGCTAACAATACATTAAACGGGAATTATTGTTGAAGTGGAGTGGGGAGGGCCCACCTCGGTTGTCGACAGAAGAGCAGCTGTCGGATTCGTTGCCTGTTTGTGTGCTTTCTTATAGCAGAAAGCTCACACACTTCAGCACTCCGACAACAGCGTGCCAGCATCGCAGTGGTTGTGCTGGTCTGGTCTTGCTTTCATTGTTGGCTAGTTTACATCTCTCTCTCTCCGTCTATTTCTCTCTACTGGTACGTGCACAACTTGCTGTCCTAGCTTCCCCTGATTTTGATTTAAGCCTGCCATGGAAGTAGTAATAAGAAGGGAACTCCTTTATTGTCCTTTGTGCATTTCGTCCCGATGGACTAATACGGGACACGAGGGCAGGTACTTAGAAGTGAGGAAAGTGTTGAGGACTCGGCCACTTATGCAGTGCTCAGTGTAAGGTATCTTAAGGGACACAGTTTGCCTTCGACTCGATGCAAATCTTATCGAAGGCTACTGAGTGCTTCCAAAAGAACCCCTGCTTTTTTCTGCCCGCGCTCCTATGAGCTCCCGACTTCAGGGGACATACGCTAGTGGGGTGCTCACGTCGATACCGTCCAAGCACACCGATCATCCAGAGCTAGCTGCGTATAGCATTCGGTTAACACGCACACAACATCGTGTCCTCATACATCGAGCTAAGACTACTCTGCAGTAAAGAAGACATACCACCCCACATCAATGAGCCAGTTCTTTACTTTGCTAGTCGAATATTGCTGTAGTAGACAGTGTGTATTGTTAACTTAGTCTTCTACATAATTATTATGCTTATCTATTCACATATCTACCCCTCCTTCTTTCCCCTCCCCAGCCTGTTCTGGTTGCTTATCCCTAATCTGTGGAGCGCCTGTCTCGTGGGCGAAACCCTGCACTCTAGTACTCATGCGCCCCTGTCTTGTTTGCACCACCCCACACAAGCACTACACCGAAATCCAGACTCTCCAGGGATATCACTTCACTGACACGGAAAGGCTTGGTGGGTTGGCCTCGGTGGCGAAAGCCTCCACCAGGCAGTTCACTTAGCACCGCAAGTACCAAGAACTTGCGGTGTCTGCGGTGCTGTGGAGGCAGAGGCTACTGTCTGGCGCATATTGTGACCCAGCTTTTGTGGCTATGCGCGGCTCACTCCCTTCAGGTAGTCCCTAGCTATTGTATGCGCATTGAGAATTGATACCCAGGTGTGTTAACCATGCGGGGAGCCTCACCCCATAGGAACCCCGTGGATTAGCCGCCAAGAGAGTCCTTACAAAAATCTGCAGCTACATGCTCTTCAGGAATGCCCCTAAACGCATCAGAAGGAGCTCTTGCAGGGGTAGCATTTTTTACCCGGGTCAGCGACTGCTCAGCAGTGGGTGCATATGCACCGCATGTCGACGCACGTGGCTCTGCTGAGACCCAAAAATATATGACTATCCCCATGAAGACTCCTCGGAAATTTTGCTACTCTTTAATCTGCCGAAGTATGAAGGGCGAGGAACGCATGCGCCGCTACTGCGGACCTGCAGACACTTGGGGCCGTTCAGCAGCTGCAGCAGCGGCCGCTACGGCTGACTCTTGGAGCAATAGAACTTGTTCACCAAGTTAGACAGTATTTTCTAGAACTTCATGCTTTTTCTGTGCTGTGTACTTGGCCGGAGACCTGCGTGCCTTGCCATTCACTACAACCTTTAGAGCCTTACCCACTTTAACCCCAGGGCCCCATCCGTAACCCCCAGGTGCCCTCCCAATTAGACTGTTTCTGCATGCAATCCTGAAGGCTCTGGCTGGAAGCTTGCGCACACTGTGCCGGGGGTGGCGCATGCGTGCTACACAGGGCCTTCTTTCCGCAGTAAGAGACCACTGGTATTTTCGCCAAATCTACGCACAGTGAGGCGCACAAAGAGCTCCTGGGGGTTGCGGCCCGGCTATGCCGGAGCTGCGAACACACCCCAATCGCCGCACACATGCATGTTTCTCTCCTGGTCCGAGCTCATGAGGGCGCTACACGTTTCGAACTGCTGTGTGTAGTGAGAGCCCCCCCAGCCACCCACCTGCAGCAGCAGCGCCTCCAGCGATGGTGATTTTGCTGGTTCTGCTGTTGCCTCTGGCAATCCTTGCCTCCTCCTTTGGAGGGAGCCCTGGGAACGCGGCCCTTGGAGCTCCCAAAAGGAGAGTCAGCAGAAATGCCGTGCTACTAGCCGTTTGCTGCCTCGCTGCCATCATCGGACGCTACACAGGCGATGCCCTAGTAAGGCTCGCGGAGGCAGCTAGAGAGTCCACCTCGCCACCTTTAGCAACGCCCTTCAATGAAGAGCGAAGGCAGGAGCAGGGAAGGCAGCAACTCGGCGGACGTGGCGAAGCCAGTGCGCTTCCAGAGGACATCGAGCTCCTTGAACTTCTGAGCCCCTCCATCGACGCGCGTAAAAAGCTCCTCGCGAGGTACTTGTCCATGTAGAGGGTAGACATATATATACAAATGTATGTATATGGGTGTATGCATGGAGTGGATGTGCTTGGATGCTCATTTCTTTCTTGCCGTCTCAAGTAGGGCGAAGAAGGGCCGAAAGTTGCACACGGATTCAACTGTGTGTCTTTCTAGGCCTCCCGCGATTTCCCACTTGAGGTGATTGCGGAGACGGGTAAAAGTGTTCTTTTCGCACGTATGTATGCGTGAGCCTGTGCATTGTGCCTGTGTGCCACAGTGTTCATATAAATGTTCATATGTGTGTGGCAGCAGTGGTAAGGTGCAGTCCGCAAGAACAGGCTCAAAAGAGGCCTTACACTGTAGCGCGATGTTGGGTAGCACCACCCTCGCGTTGAGGAGCCATGCGCACGCATGAATTCCTCGCTGTATTCTTTCCAAGCGGTCCTAGTCTATCCGTGCAATTGTCTCACGATCGCCAGCAAGAACCGCTTTTGAGCTTTCGAAAACACTTTGCTATTCTGCCCAGGCGCAAGAGGGCAGGAGGCAGACCTTTCTTGCACGCGGCTACAGTGCGTGTGCGCGCTCATGTTCCCTCTGCTGCCGATGGATGTCAGGTTGTCCAATGGGCTTGAGGTTCTAGCAATGCAAGACAGCTCGTCGCTCGAGGGGGGACTTGTGCAGGTTTCTGCATCCTTTATCGGCGGCTCCCGTAAAGAGCCCCTCCATCTGCCCGGCCTCGCTTTCCTTGTGGCGCAATGCACCTTTCGAGGAGAACGGATCGGAGGAATTTTTGCCAAAGAGCAGCAGCAGGAGCAACAAGGGGGCTATGAATCCTTCGCGGCACTCATCAAGGCTCTTGGAAGCCCTCATCCACTGCATTTGTCTGTGAATGAGCTGGAGAGCTCCTTGGCATTTCAGGTATGCTAATATTTAGATCGAAATGTGTTGATTCACACGTCCGACTCCCTTTGGCACATATGCACAAAATACGATTTTGCCGTTTGCAACCTTGCTGGCGCTGTGAAGGCTTGTGTGTGCCTGCACCTATGTATGGCTATGGCTGATGATGACTTTGTGGCTGGTACTACTTCTTCCGTGTCCTAGGCGTAGCTGTGGTTGAGCCTTGTGTTTTTGATCCTTTGGCATTCAATCCCCTTTGCCGTGTAGGCTTGCTTCTGGACATCTTGGGCAGCGCGTGGATTTCTCTTGTGCCCTTGTGTATGTGTGTATGTATGTGAATGTATATGTGTATGTATGTGAGTGTATGTGCGAATGTGTGTGTGTGTGTGTGTGTGTGTGTGTGTGTGTGTGTGTGTGTGTGTGTGTGTGTGTGTATGTATGTGAATGTATGTATATGAATGCATATGTGTACGTATATGTGTATGTGTGTGGGTGTGTATACATGTATATGAATGTATATGTATATATGTGTGTGTGTATGCATGTATATAAATGTATATGTGTATGTGTGTGTATGCATGTGTATTTGCATGCATGTGTATGTGTGTGCTTGTACGTGCTTGTATGCTCCGAGTAGATTCCTGTTGAGCGGCTGGCCGCTGCCCTAGGAGGACTTCGCGAAGCGCTCTCCCCGCAGTCTCTTTGCTCAAATGATTTGGATGGGGCTCTCATGGAGTTAAAGCAGCTTCAAGGATCTCTTCAATTGAAGTGTGCAGCGGACCATTACTGTCGACGGAATGCTGTTCTCAAGAGCCATGTGGTCAGTTGCCGCTATTGGTGCTGCTATCCATGTGGCGTGCAGCCGACTTCGTACGGGGGGTGTCCTGTATTACACTGCGTTCCGTCTGATTGTGTGCGCCTTTGGATGAGTGTGTGTGAAAGTGTATGTGTGTAAGTATGTGTGAAAGGTGTGTGTGAAAGTGTATGTGTGTACGTAGGTGCATGTGTGCATCATGTGTGTAAGTGAAAATGTGTGTGTGTGTGTATGTGTTTTATGCGCAGTTGAATCCGAATCACCGCGCGAACTGCTTTTATGCCATGGGATTGGAGCTGTTGCACGCGCTTCGCTCTGCGCAGTGGCGCTCTGGGGATTTGGAAGGGTGGCGAAGATGGCAGAGGCGGAAGCGGAGGCTGCAGAAGGACCAGCACCGTCAGCAGTCTACTGCTGGCAGCGCAGCTGGCGGATCTGTCGCTGCAGGAGTTGCTACGTTTGCCTCCACCTCTTTGCCGCTCCTACGCCAGGAGCAGCAGCAGCAGGACCAGAGTTCCACAGGCGTTGCCGGAGGGGCCCCTCACAAGGGGCCCTTTTGGCCCCGATCCCCTTCCCCATTGGGCGGGTTCAAAGCCCCCCGCCTTGTTTACGTTGAGGAGCTCGGAGTGGACGTCCTAGCGGCAGACGTCGATATTAGAGAAGCTGCTTTTCTCTGGAGGCGGCATTACTACGTTCCCAACGGGATTGCACTGGTCCTTGTGGGACCGCAAGATCCAGAGCAGCTCTTGCTGCTCGCGCACCAAGCTCTGGGCAGTTTAGAGCCCAATCTTAAGCTGCAGACTCGTTTTCGGTGCAGCGACAACAGGGCTTCGGAGATAGAGAGTCTGAATCCACAGCCCCCCGCCTTCGCGCCTCAGTGGCAACCCCACGCTGCAGATGCAGCATCTGCAGACGCAGGCACGAGCAGGGCAGGCAAGCAGAAGGGCCGCACCGGAGCAGACAGGGATTTTGGGAGGCCTTCAGCGTGTCCTAATCCTCTAGACTACGAGGAAGCGGGGGGGGGCCCTCATGTCTTCACGCGTGCAACCGTAGCGGCATCGGCGGGTGCAAGAGAAGCTGAGGGGCACCTGCAGCCTGTTGCACGCCCTAAGGACCTTGAAAAATTGCTCTTGATACAGCCCTCCAGTCGGTTTTCACACAGTGTGGAGTTCATCTTTGTTATGGAAACGGAGGGGCCCAGGAGGCCTCCGTGCAAGGATATAGAGTAGGCATGCGGCACTGCACGTCAATCCCGAAGCTTTTTCCCAGCGGACTTCCCTGGCGTTTGTGTGCTGCGACTATGTTTTCGCTCTTGGGGTGGGCCCAGCGCGCCTGTCTGTCGGCTTCTCAACTTGGCTGTTTACTGTTCTCTCCAAATTGCTGCTGGGTGTGTTCTCAGGGCCTGCCTGGCGTGCGTTGCTTGTGATGCTGCTGCGTCTTCCCTGCTGCGGGGGTGCTCCTGCCTCCTGTCGCGAGGGAACCCAAGGCTTCCCTGTATCATTGAATCCCTTCCTTCGTGAACGGTTGTTCCTCTTTCGTTCTGGTGTCTTTGCTGCTGCAGGCTAGCCGCGAATCTCTTCAGCATGGGGGGCCCCGGAAGCTGTCTGGGGGCCCTCCGGGCTGCCGGATTGGCTGAGGCTTTGGAGGTGTCTATGGAGTACACGGCTTGCAGTGCTGAGCTGCGGGTGTCTTTGAGCGTTTCTGGAGGCTCTCTCAAGCACCCGACTATTGAGCTCACAGGCAAACTACTCTTTACATTCATTCAGTACGTGGGGACGATGGATGGAAGGGGAAGGGGAAGAAGGAAGGAGGAAAGGCCTTATGGGGGATTTAAAGGGTCCTCTTATCCCTTTGCGGAGTGGCTACTACTCCTCCGGCTCTACGAAGCGTGGATCATCTGCAAACCTCCGCTGTCTGCTGCGGCCTCCGGCTCGCCGAGTTTTGCACAGCTGCTGCTCGCAGCTGGCTTGGCTTTGGACTGTCTCTGTCTTTGGGGTGAGGGCTTCGTTTTTGCTTCAATGAGTGGCGCTGTGCGCTATGCGAGCTCCTTGCCCTCTGTCCATCTACCCTGATGTGCTCCGTGTTGCAGGCTGTGGAGGCATCTGGCTTCCTCAAAAGAACCTTGGGCGGCGGTGATGCGTCGTTTTGAGGCTGAGGAAATAGGCTTTCATCTGCACAAGAGGCAGGTACACGCGACGGCTCCTTCCCTCTCTGGATTGTCTGCTGAAGCAGCGTACGGGGAAGCGCATGCTGCCGCCTTGCCGCTGACACCCCTTGCTTTAGACGGCTTGGGAAGGCGGCCGCAAATGCCGCATCTGACACCGCAGGAGGAAGCGATTTATTTGTCGGGGAACCTCCTAGGGAAAGCGGGCAGTCGTGTCTTTCTAGTGGACTGGCTTGTGCAAAAGGTTCCCAGGGAGGAGTTCGTGCAGTTCCTCTCCGCCTTAACTCCCAGCAATCTGATCCTCGTGGTATGTCTGTGCGGATCTAGCGAGGGGGGGCAATCGCTAAACGCTTCTGCAGATGCCCGCGTAGAGCCCACATAGCCGGTCCAAGCATATATGTTACAAGATTTGCGACGCCACATTGAGTTTTTGCACTGCCTAGCTCTTGTTCAGCAGCGCATAGCAGTTTGCCCATCTTTGTCTGGAACGGGGTATGAATATGGGTGCATGTATGTCTGCATGCAAAGACGAGCATACCCAAAAAAATCCGCGACGTCTGACTGTGCCTGCCCCTAAACGCTTTCAGTTGGAGAGTCCTCTTATAGCGCCCCTCTGCACACGCTTGGCCCCATTCCTTCGTTTGCCATTTTCGGTGCTGCCGTTGGAAGAGCACTGGAAGAATCGGTGGAGTGCCCTCACAACCCTAGCGCCTGATGAAGTCTCGAGACTTGCAAGAAGCCTCGGCCTCTCGCTTCCAGGGGAGGACCCCTTTCTGCCCATGCGCAGCGGATCGTCGTCGCTTTGGCACCCACGGAACCGTCCAGAAGAAGCGACAGCAGCGGCAGGAACGACAGATAGTGCAACGACATCCCAAGAAGAAGCGGCAAACCATCTTGTCAAAGCAGTCCCCTTACCTAAAGAAGGGGCGTGCAGCTCCGTATGCGAGGTTTTTATAGACTCCAGGAACCCCATAGGAGTTCCTAAGGCATATGCAACCTTCTGGCTCTTCCCAGGCTTGGCTTCCCGGCCTGCAACGTCGACGAGCAGCAGCAGCAGCAGGACGAGCAGCAGCAGCAGCAAGGGCAGCGGCACGAGCAAGAAAAACCGCAAGGCTCTGCGGCGGCGAAGTGAACGCATCAAGTCCCTAGTGGCCCTTTCCCTCTTTATACACACCGTTGTCGAGATGCTTTTTGACGTAAGTGCCAATCCGCAAACAGTGGAAAACCACCTGTGGAAACAGACTCCCCGCACTGTACCCGCGCACTGCGAGGCGCGGCCACACGGCGTCCTGTGGGCCTTGTGGGGGAAATTTAAGGCTTGAAGGGGTCTTCTGGATATGTTTTAGCGGGTTTGAATAGTGTGACGGTCCTGGAAAAGCTGCTTGGGGTGTAGAGCTTGACGGGGGGTGGTGGAATGCTGTTTGGTGCAGCCCCTCGGTACTGCAGCTGTGAGCGGCGCATTTGTCTCTGTCTCTGTGGACGTCGAGTCTTCTGCGCTGAAGGTAAGGAATTGGGCGCAAGGCTTCCTTTTCTCTCTCTTAGAGGAGTTGATGCTTGTTTGATGGCAATGGCGGAAAAAAGCCTGGGCAAAGCTGCTTCGCGCGAGTCGGCCTTCTCAGTACCGTAACGTGCTGTGTCGTAATAGCGGGAGCGCTCTAAATGACTGCGCAAGTATGGGAATACGCGGCATGCTCCATTTGTTGTTGGTGTTCTGCACTGCTTCCAGATTCGCCTGCAGTGCCCTTCGGGTGGCATGCGACTTCTGATCCAACTTCTCTTCTCCGCAATGTGGGCAGCGAGCAGCAATGGCCGAGAGGCCACGGGGGTGGTGCCTTTATGGGGCCCAGGGGCCCCCCCGGAGTTCAAGACATATTTCAACTGCGGCGAAGCAACACACGTCCAGACCCCCTTCTGCTTGGGAGAGCTGGATATACTCACGTTTTCATCTGTAAAGCAGAGGACTCTCCTGCGCATTGCGGCGGCCGAGGGAGGCAACTGGCTTGCCTGCATTGCTGGAGAAGTCAGGAACCAACTGATGGTGCGAAACAAGCCCCCAAGAGCCCTCGTTGCAGAAGTGCTCGCCACCATAACTGCGCCCGATGCAGAACGGGCAGGGGCCATCTTGACGCAGGAAGTCTTCTTTCAAGCTTTCTTCTCGGTACATTTAAGCCTAAATCCTGATCGCGATGACAGGGGGCCAAAGTGCAGGCTGTCACCAGCGCCTCCCGTTGCCACCTTCACAAGCGCACACCCCTAACCGCACATGCACAATGCTGGTTGCGCGGTAGGCATCTACACTGCTGCAGCTGCGACTTCTGCTGGTGCGGCTTCAGGGCGATGTGTCTTCATCAGAGGCGGCCGAATGGGCAGAAGCAGCAGCCACGTCCTTAGGACTCAGTGCGGAGAATCGCATGCCTGCCCTCCCTTCTCTGTCCGATATGCAGCCTATTCCCCTCTCCTTCCTAGCAAGCGCTACTCGCAGCAGGAACGCCACCGTAAGCAGCAGAGGGGACGGTAAATCAAAGCCCCAGACTTCCGCTCATGCAGACGCAGTTGTCCCCCGAGTTCGCATACGAGTGAACGCCGACATCAACAGAGCTGCCGCTTGCAGCCCAAAGGGATGGAGCTTGGGGGGCTCCCGACCTCACAAGGATTACTTCTTAAATAAAGGAGGTGTCTTCGAGCTGTCTATCCAGGTCAGCTGAAGGAATCGGTTTCATCGTGGGAGGGAGGGAAGGCGGGGGGCTTTTCTCGTTTTTTATGGATATGTAGCTGCTGGTGTGTGTGTGCAACGTGCTGCCGACTTAGAGGACATGCATGCTTAACCGGCTTTCCTTGTGTGCATTCTCTTTGCCTTGATGTCGAATGATGATGTCGAATTACATTTAATCCCCGTTGACCATTCCATGAGCAAAAGAACGATAGGAGGAGGGCTTGCTGCTGCATAGCGCCAAAGTACACCGCAGTTGGTGCGGTTGCTCCCACTGTATTGTATTGGCTTGTGCGAACGCGTTGCGCAGCTGGGCTTGCTGAGCTCCCATCAATTAGCAGGAGCAAAGGTTATGGAATTAGTGCTAAAGGAGGCCCTCCATCTGCATTTTTGCGAGCGTCTACCTGCATGTGGATCCGTAGATGTTCAACTGATAACGGAAGTAAGCAACAGCGGTAGTACTCCTTAGGGGCGACGCATGAAACCCCTGCGAGCGCAGCAGCTTTACTGGCAGCAAGTGCAACACGAGTGGTCAGTCAGATGTAGCGTCTTTTTCTTTCTTCGCGCGGTTCTATGCCAGCGACACGTTCTTATGCCTCGCCTCTACACGTTCTTATGCCTCGCCTCTACACGTTCTCAGGGTGCCTTCTTTACGTCGCTGGCTGTGCGGATCCATGGAGCTGACGGAACCAGCCAATGGGCAGGTGGCGAGGCTCTTGAACGGTTTCTCTTTCAGCTGGCAGGAGCCCCTCGTGTTTTCCGCTCAACCCTGGCGACTCCTTGGCACCTCCGCCGTAGGCAACAGGTCAAACGCGAACCGAAGAGGGCCGCTGCCCCTTCCTCGAACAGCAATGCAATGACTGGTTCCTTGCCCTCACGAATGCCGTCGTCAGGAAGGACTGCATCTCTCACGCTGAAGGGTCTTCTTTCAGATGAGTCTCTGAAGCGTCACAGGGACCGGCTCCTTAAGCACCTCCAGGGAGCTGATGGCGCAAAGGTATCACTTGCTGGACTCTCCAGCTGCAACAATAGGCATCACGGCGACAGCAGCAATAGCGGAAAAAATAGTGAAGGTGTATGCGTGCGCGGCCGCACGGCAGCGGAGTGGCTTGGCCCTACCCGTCTCGTTTATGAAGAAGAAATCTGGAGGCGGCGTTACGATTTTAGCAGTATACATAAGTTGTTGCGCCATGCAGCGTACGCTACAGTTGTCTGCCCCCGTCCTCTGGCTGAGACCGTTGTTCTTTTCAGAATTCCTGCTCCTTATCCCCCGGATGTCAGTGGCGGGTCCGCTTGCGGATGGCTTTTGCGACGGCTGCGGCTGCTGTCTCCCAAAGCAGTGGCGTTGTGCGGTTCTTTGTGATTTTACTGCAGATCCCTCTCACCTTCAGATACCCGCGACTTTTTCTTTTTGAACATCTTAGCGGGACCGTGGCTACTAGTAGAGGCAGTGCCTTATTTGCCCCCAACCACATCCGCGTCGCCTGAATTTCTCTTTTATGAGCAAGCACATATGCACCGAACGTCGAAGGAACCCCGAACGGATGTAGGGAAGACGCGTACGGGCTCGAGGCGCCACAATTCATTTAGCCATGTAAGTTGTCTGCCTCATAAAAATCCCTTTATTTTTCTGCGTTTGGAGCCTATTTTGTATGTGGAGGTATTTAACGGCTGAGAATCACATGCGAACTTGGGCTAGTTGCAACTAAACACGAATGTGACACTGGTGGATTGTTCATCGCATGCACATTTGTCCCGCGTCTGTTTGTACATGTAATTTCTTCTTTTACATATGCATCGTTCAGTATTTTCAGTGGCCTCCACTCTAGAAAATATAGTGTTTTCTTCAACGTACTGCACGAACTATTTGGAGGCTTGTGCATGCAAGTGTGCCCGTTCTGTGGAAATCTGTGTTTTTTTCTATTCGCGGTATACAGCCTTTATACGATGTCGCATGGAGGGCAAATTTATTAATCAAAATATCTTATGAACACGTGGATATTCGATGAGAAAGCTTTGCTTGGACTTCGTCGTGGTTACGTGTTGCTAATCTCTACAAAAGTCATTCACCTTTGCATTGCGGTTGACTGGTGTTGCAGGGAGGACGGCTCATCGAGTCTCACCCTATTTGGAGCCTGGAGGGCTCGTGGATATATGTAGACCCTCCTTCTGCTACAGAAGTAGCATTGGCCGCTGCAGAAGCAGCCAATGCCGCTCCCACAAAAGCTGGGTTGGCGAGTGGTCCCAAAGGGGGCCTTGGGCGAGAATCGCCGCACCTGTACAGGCATAGCAGCAAGCATTAGTTTAGCTGCAGCCACAACCGCGCATTTTCATCACTTAAGCATAGCCATCTATATCTTGTAGCTCCAATGCAGTGTCTTTTGTGCCACGCAAAGCCAAGAGAGGCTGCAGGCTTTAGCGAGATAGGGATGTGTATTGCAAGCGTGTGCACACCCGCCACGAGAGCTCTATATTTTTGTTGCAACGGGGGTAGAATAGAAAGCAAGAGAGCCTATAGCTCAGCAGGGGCGATGTTTTGCATGGAACGTGAAACCGAATGTCACGTGCGGCCGTGCTCATGCGGGTTTGCAGCCCCTCCACGCACATCTCAGTGGCAAAGGTAGTGCTAAAAGTTAGAACACTGTTATCCGAGCTCTAAATTGAAAGGACCTGGCGATACGACATTACAAGACACAGCCAATGATTTTTGAAGCAGGGACAGCACCACAGTCTGTCTTCCCGACTGTGCGGGCTAGGCACACCTGAACACCTTGTACTACACTAGATGCACTTACCTAGGAGTGGAGGCATGACTATTTAATTTGTCTACTTGTATACCTTATTGCTTCAGGGTACTATTAAGCGAGTCAGGACACCGTTGTGCTGTGTGTGCCCTAGATGCCGTGTGCAGCTAGCTGTGAAGTTCGGAGTGCCTAGAGAACACAGCTGCGCTCACCCCAGCTGCCCCCATCGCCCCATGTCGAGCACTTAGAGGGGTACAGGCAGGGAAAGACGGAAGAGTTTTTGAAGAAAACTCAAGCTTTATCAGATCTGTGTCTAGCCTGGAGTCAAGTATATGCCTAAGGACAACATTTATGAAGCGCTACACAGACTGCAGAGGAACTTTTGAAATTACCGAGAGGTGATACTAAATTTTCGTGTTTCAAGATAGCATTTTCGGAGACTCCGGTAAGCAAGTAGTAGTGCTTGCTAGTTTGCATGCATTCGCGCATCATGGGTCCCTCACATACATCACTCGACCAGGAAAACATACAAGCTTTTTCTATCACTAGGATTGCCTTGCGTTATGGCAAGCATGCGCCGGAAGGGCTAAACAGTATCCAACGGACTCTATCAGAATATTTTCGCCATCATACCAGTGTAGAAATAAAGCCTGGCAATGCAATGCCAGTTCTGAGGCTGTACGGAAACTCGGAATCTGAACTCGGCTGCCTCATTTTTGTGACGTGAGCGTATGCCTATAGTCTGTTCTTCCTCTCTTTCCGTATTATCACACAGACTGGCTACAATCGAATGAGCAAGTAAATATCAGATTTACGGATTCCTGTGGGCCTGGCTATTCCACCCCTAATGGCCATCCCCCCAACTATCCGTACCACCATATACACCATTTAGAGTTGCTCCCTGCAATACAGCTAGATAAATCTGTCTTTATATGAGTTCTAGCATTTCCTTGTATCTGCAGCTAGTGATATCGCCAGGTCCTTGGGCCGCACTCTGAAGCTGCTATCTTGGCAAAATGAAACATAGTCAGGCAGTTCCATTAACATCGTCCTTACCAGTAGAATGTCCATATAAAGCTGACTGGTGGTCGATTTAGATTCAACCTCCCCGGTCATTTTGTTCGATGCTCTCTGCATTCTCACGTTTCAGGACCACGGAGGTATGTGGCACATGCAGGCATGGAGTGCATAATGCTCGTCCTGAAGTCTCCACAGGGAGGCCAGTCTTCAAAGAGGCCATGAAAGCTGAAGGAAAAAGTTGCTTGCCACTAGAAAGGAACTATCATCCTATCCTTCCTCATCCCCCAGGGTACCCGGCTAACAGGGCAATGCACAACCAGATGCAAGGCAGCTTCGACCATAAACGCGCGCCAAATATTTCTACTGGGTAGAGGGCGCTCGCTGAAACACCATCGGCCTTCTCTTTCCACTTCAGAAATTGCGCGTTCTCAAATGGATTAGTTGAAACAGGCGCCCACTACGCGCACTCAACGGTCTTGCGGGTGAGTAAAGGCGACCACGCACACACTGCTTCAAAGTTTGCTGGATACGGCTCATTTTCTTCAGCCACGAGTGAACGCCCTGGAATACGGCTGGTGGCTAGAAAAAGAAACACTTCGGTGCCTTCACATACTACTGGTGCTGTAATGATCTTGAGCGCTTCGCCTGAATGCTAAGACTTCGTCCATGTAAAGAACCATCCGTTAACCCGTGATATGCTCATGATCATCCTCATAAACTTGCTTTTGCAGTTTGGCTGGGTCGTTTAAAAGTCCAAACGGTACACAGCTAAACTTAGGTTTGCGAGAGCGAGCGTGAATCGCCGTTCTTGTACTTCTCATCAGCGTAAATGACGATCTGTAAGTAGGTGCCTGTTACGTTAAATGCCCAATAGGCTCTTTATCCGTGTAATTTGCGAAATAATCTACTAGCATGAGGCATCGGGAACATGTGTTTCGCAGTAATTTTGAACCGGAGCCTAAAGTTATCGCCTATGCGCCACCATCCGTCCTTTTCCGGCACCAACACAGGGTTAGGCCCGAAGGGACTGGTCGATTTCTGCACTTTGCACATTGCAACGATCATCTGCCTGTAGCTCAAATTCCTGTTTGTGCTGTAAAGGGATGTGACCCAGCAGAGCATCGCTTGAGGCTGAAGGGAGGATTAGCTCAATATGATGCTAAAGACGACGAGCGCGTGCGAGCCTGCTGGCAGCTAGTCATGTGTAATCAGTAAACTGTCTGTGGTATTTGCAGACTCCTGCTGCGCCATGGCTACTACTTTAATTTATTTCTTTCATAAAGAAGTAGTTTCAGAGTCACTAGGAAGGGGTGCACGCGCAAAACCATCCTCCTTTACTTTGCTGCTGAGCCCAAAGCATGAGGACTAAGACTCACCCTGTTGGGATGCCAGTCCTACTTGTTTTACATATGTGAAATAAAAGCTGTTGAGGAGATCGGTAGGTGCGTCTTCACAGAGCGCCCTGGCACACTCAGAGGCAGTGGCTGCAGGTGCGCTTGCCATTGGTGGCCCATGGCGGAGGATAATCAACTCTTGGTGCATTAGTTTAACATGGAAACTACGGACCAGGCTATTATGGCCCGGAATTCAATGTAAAGTGGTATTAACTGCCGTAGCTTCGCCAATCATTGCGTTCTCGGCCTGCCACTAGACCAGAATGTAAGGAAGTGCATTTACGAGTTAGCACGCAGGTTGCACTTCTAAGCCGTTTCCTCGGATAACAGATCCATTTCACATCGATTGACAAGTCACTCTAGCAATGCGTGGCTACTGATGTGAGTATAAAAAGCGCAGACTCGGCTGCGGATGGCTCCTCAGCTGGGTTTTTCTCCTAAGCACAACCCTTCAGAGCACCTCACCTCGGGGTGCGCAAGGAGCTTCTCTGTTTCCCTGTTGTAACTTATTTGCCCGCCAAACAGCCTACTTTCGCGAGGCCTTGTCTATTCGCTCAATGTCGTTGGAGTTTTGCTTGTGCTTGCGTTTTCAAATTATACGACCCAGTAATTTGCAGTAGCTCAACTTCATATATAAGACAAGCCTAATAGAATCTTACGAGGGGCCTTTTGGAAAAGCTCCTGCCTTCCACTGGCCGCATTCAAAAGCGCTACTGACAGGGAGGCAGGGAAGGCTAGGAAGCTCGAACTGGCAAACCCGAAGTCCTGTGAGACAGCATTCATAGCAAGGTGCACCTAGCGTCTCAAACGCACGCAACATTGCGTCTCATAGTATCGTGCTAATACCGCTCAGCAATCAATACAAGACTCAAAGGAGAGCCCAATTCGTCAAGTGTTTGGAATACTTGTTTGATGGAAATTAGTCCAGTAGAAACTGTTGTGTAGTTTTGCAGGCTACGGGAAGCGTAATTAGCTAATTCTCTCACGCAAACCGAAAAAAAATACGAGCAGCCAAACAAACTGTTAATTTCTTACTAGATATTTATTGAATAATCCAATATGGTAGCTAGTGCCTGAGCAAATCTTCGCCCGCTACGGGGCGCCTGGGCCCTAGATGCTGGGCATCACAGCATCTGGATGCATGGAGTGCAAAGAGTTGAGGTAGGCGTATCCTCGCTGTCTATCTCACCCATGCTGAAGTACTGAGAGCTGATGAAGGGAAAGAAACAGTTTCGGAGCGCCAATCAACTGCTTTCGATAAGTTTTTGCTTAAGGTTTGAAGCAAAGTATTTCCCGTGGAGATCGTAAGTGGACCGTAACAGCTCCCAAGTCCAGCAGTTAGTGACAGCTGCTTGTAAACAAAGTACGGTTACGTACAGGAAAGCAAGATGGGTAACGGTCCACGCGTAGTTTAGTCGGAGGCTCCAGGCCATTCGAGAGCATAGCCACCTGCGCATAGGATCTAGCGCACACGCTCACAGCATCGTTGCGTACTAATTCGAGGAAATACTACTCATCAAGACCTAGTTATCGAACAAACAAGCATAATTTGTAGTGTCTTATCAGTTCTCAATTGAAATAACTGGTGCACTGAGAGTGCGTGATAGAGTTTCGCCCCACACCCACAAGAATAATCCCTATATTCAAAGCTAGCGGGCATGCCCCCTCAAAGGGTACACTACATATGACCCCTAATTGCATAGTTAGGTTTCATAAATCTTATTCAAACAGTTGCAACACTTTGAGTAAAAAACTGGTGAATAGGTGGTTGCGTCACGTACTATACTGGCGCCAATCATTAGAGGCTACCGAGAGACACTGGTTGGTGGAGCTTACAGCATCTCTTCTTTTGTGATATGGCATATATTGTTTCGGTAAATTTATTAGGCAAATAAAAATGGCTTCATCTGTCGAATGGATAATAGGATTCGAGGCGGGACACGACGCATAGAGGACCTGAAAGCAACGGTGGCGCTGGAGCACCTCTCAATTCATTGCAGTCCGCCTCCAACTTTTACGTAGTGTATAGAGCTTTATATGTTCCGTTTAAAAATGAAGAAGCACCTCCGAAAGGCCCCTAGTGGGCCAAAGTCGTGCATGCTGAGTACCGGGGCTGCTCTGCAGCCGCCGCTGCCATAGTGGGAGGTCCTTCCCTCCAGCAGCTGCCCTGCTGACCGACCCCTGTGTGAGGGTTCCCCCTGAAAGACACGGTACAAGATTTGTTGTGTACAGTGTACAGAGCGAAAGTACACCCTTTTCACCTTTACACGGAGCGGGGTGTCGCCTGTGCTTGTTGCGGCCGCTTCAATGTGCATTCTCCGCGGGGTCACGGAGTTGCAGGAGCAAGCAGCAGCCAGTAGCGTCCAATGCGGCGGCCTTACACGCATCCATGAGACCTGTATCCATCCTCGCGCGTTGGAGTGCCAGGCGCCAGGAGGCTTCCTTGTGGATACTGCTTTAGCCGCTCAGGGATTTTGCCGCAGCGCTTGAAAAGGGTGCGAATGGCGAGGCCACTCCATCTGAAGCGCTGTTCCTTTTAGATCTTTTTCCAAGGAAAGGTATATACATATATCTCTTCGATCCTTACCATAATGTTTTATGTAGCTGAGCGCTTCTTTTCCGTTATTTGGCTGCTGAATGATGACAACCCCGACATGTCTATGCTAGATCTGATATGTAATCGAGAGCCCGCGAAGGGTCAGCGGTCTTCTGCAGCCGGCCAGAATGAACAGCAGCAACAGTCAAAGCAGGGGCAGGGGGACCGATCCGTCCATAGAGAAAGCAGCAGCAGTAGCGATGGCTCTGACGTTTCAGCAACTCAGAGTAGCATCAGCAACAGCAGCAGCGTGGCAGCGTCCCCCAGAAGGTATGACAAGCAGGACTCACCAAAGGCTGCTGCCTCATGGATGCAAGTGCAGCAGCACAGGGAGGCACTGTTTTCACGGCCTCCCCCAGACACCGAATCCCTCCCCGCAATGGACTTGGCGCCGGCAGCCGACGGTGTCGATGACGTCGCCGATGCTGCTCCTGCAGCCTTGAGGCACAGCCGGTCGCATGAAGGAGCACTCGTGTCGGGGCCGCCCCCTCTGTCGTTGCCTCCGAGTGCAGTGTGTCGACGAGGGGAGATGCAAATGCACACGCCGCGCTCACAGCCGGATGCTGGAAGGCCCTCACGGCCTGCAGTGGCGGCGGCAGCTCTGGGTGCTCTGTATTTCGAGGAGGGCACTGAGAACGTCTTAGGAGGCAAGCCTAAGCCTTGCATGCAGCAGCAGCAGCAGCGGACTCAGGGCCCCGAATTTGCTGCACCGAGACGCAGGGTGAAGAGGCATACACTTCCGCCCCTTCAGGGTCATATGCAGTCGCAACACGAGCAGCGGCAGCCACTTGTCTGCCCTCAAACTCAAGGGGTGGTTGGTCCTGCTGGATCCACGGGGAGCCTGACAGCTGCTCCAGAGCTGTCAAGGCAGCATTGGCAGCTGCAGTTGCAGGGGCAGCTAGCAAACCCTTGCCAGCAGCAGCGGCAGCATCAGCAGCTTCAGCAGCTGCGATTGCGCAATGCCCTTCAGCGGCAGCACTCTTTCCCCTCAGGCAGGTCCACGCCAGCACTTCCGTCCTCATCCACTGCGACTCCGGTCCATAGTGTGTTCGTGCCTGACGCAGCCACCGCAGCAACGAGCCGCTGCTGTGCAGCTGCTGCTGCTGGAACGGGAGGCTCGGCTCCAAGTGGAGGCGATGGAGATCCCGTGAGCCTCAATCTCGGCTCCGTGCGGACGCAGCGTATGGCTTGCTGCATGCACGATATCGACAGGTGTTGGAGTAACCGGAGTCGCAGTAGTAATGCTTGCAGCTTCCCCAGAAGCAGCAGTCCAGGTGTGTGGGGTGGAAGCCGCCCGACCTCACATGTGCATCGCCGCAGGTACGCGACAGTGTGTTGGCCTATTGACAAGGCAGCACAAGCTGCTGCTGCTGCCGCTGTTAGAGGCCCCCCCCCGCTTGATGTACACCCACCTGGCTGCTGCCGTGTTGCCGCTGCTTCCTGGTGGCAGCAGCACCACGAGGAAGCGGCTGCTGCCGTTGTTGCAAGCAGGGCTGCTGCTCGCGCCGCTTCCGATGTGCTGAGTCATTATAGTTTTGCTGCCCCTGGTAGCACAGCAGCAGCAGCAGCCGCCGCAGCAGCAACGGCTGCAGCATCCGCAGTAGCAGAAGTGGCTGAGGAGTCATCGAATCCCTCAGCAGTAGCAGCAGGGATGGCCTTACCGTGCCAACATTTAAGCTCGTATCGCACCTCTTCTGTGCTCGGCATGCAGCAGCAGCAGCAGCGACAGCAAAGAATACCGAGTAGGCCGCAAGGAGATGCCACATGGAGGGGTGCATCGGGAACAGAACCACCCTGCGTGTCACGGCAGGACCCTCCAACGACACCATGCACGATGGGGTCGTCGTCATCTTCGTGCAGCGGACTCCGCCCAGGTGCTCTCAGCTGTAGCTGCATGAGACAGTGCTGTTGCTGCAGCAGTAGCAGCGCCAACGGCATAGGGATGCCCGCATGCAGGGCGTCGCCTCTATCTCTGCAGCAGTTTCACTGAATGGCTATGTGAAGGTGTTTCCCTAGCAGTAGTTGGACGACGGGTGCATGCAGCAGGAATAAGGTTTAGGTAGGAGGGAGGCGTGTCACTGGCGGTGCGCGCATTTTCGGTAGTGTGCCTACTGTGCCGCGAAAAGGCCGCTCTCTTCATGGGCTGTGCGCAGCCGAGATGCTGCTGGAACTAAGTGCGCATCTTCTTCGCCTATCAGCACTCCAGCAGATTTGGTTTATCACTGAAATTGGGGTGCCCATGACGAGCCCTCGAGATGTGGCCAGCTCTTTTTGCGAATCACAGACTACTTGCTTCGTGTTGCTACACGATGTTGGCCCTCGGCTGTGTGTCCAGAGTCGAGCTGCCGTTTGAAGTGATCGAGGTTCTGTGCCACTATAGTTTGCGGGATGTTCCGTGTATGGGGCTGTTTCATCCTGCAGGGCTTCCCTGAGGTCCTCAGCCGCCAGTGTATGCGAGCAGAACAGAGGGATGGGGGGCATGCGGCTCTGCTTGCCGCCTCTGTGCCGCTTTAAACTCGATTAGTTGATTTCGCCGCCACGGTATCGTGCATCAGTGAGAAATGTATAGCATGGCGTCCAGCGGGCACGGGCTGTCCTGCGTGAGGCATGTGACTACCGTGGCAACAAAAAGCCGATATTGAATTGCGCCTTGACCTCTGCATTTCCTCTGGGATGTTTGTGAGATCCTTTTAGCCCCAAACTTAGTATTATCGCTTCGTGTTACGCCGTTAAAATCCCTTGATAAGGAGCTTTCTTCATCCTTTCCTTGCTCGCGTCGCACCAATTGGTTCCGGCATCAGGAAAGGGAGAGCCACAGCCAAGATGCGTTTTGCCTGCCTTCGGATATCACCCAGCATTCGGTGCCAGCAGCCCAATAATTTCAGCTCCAATAATGTATATTAGAGCTGCAGTTCAAATGCTCGTGTTGGATTTCTGTCGCCGTCGACCGCCCGCCCTCGTAGGGTGGGCGCCAGGGTAGCAGAGGCTTTCTCCCCGAAGCCTTCCGTGCACAGCTGCTCCGCGCACAGGTCAGAGCCTCCATGAGTACAGCATTTAGCAAGGCCCAGTGTGCAAGAAGTCGCGCACCCTTAATTGTGTGGAACTGGTGTAAAAGAAAGCGCGTACTCGTAGGCTTGTCCCCTCTACTGCATCCGTTGCAGCGGACTACCCCTCGGTACTGCCTAACCCCTCCAACTGGCTACAGTGTGACCAACCTTCCCCTGTTGCTTCTAGAGAAGTCTCAGTCTCTAGCTGTCTGCGTTCGCAAGGCCTTACCTCATGTAGCCATAGTAGCGACCGCTCAACCGGAGGAGGCATAGAGAACCGCAGTAGGGACAGCTCCACGCAGCACAAAGACGCAAGCCATATCTAGAAGTTGCGAGGTCGACCAATAGAGCAATAGCGAGACAGTCTTGATAGGAAGACACTGCAACACGATAGGGTATTCAAGCCAAATCTAAAAGTTGCGAGGTCGACCAATAGCGCAATAGCGAGACAGTCTCGATAGAAAGAAACTGCAACACGATAGGGTATACAAGCCATATCTGAAAGTTGCGAGGTCGACCAATAGAGCAATAGCGAGACAGTCTTGATAGAAAGACACTGCAACACGATGGGGTATACTGTCGCTTGACGCGAAAGCCTCTGCCTGAGGTTTCGGGGGAAGTCATGAAATAAAAAAATGACTGTATACTCTAAGAAAATGCCGTATAAGTGGGGCAAAGAGAGGCCAGGCATTGCTGCTCGGGTTAGTAGAAACCACATTTGTTACGAGGCATACTGTGCCGGTGGACGGACGAAGGGGCGCTCGGGGGCGCAATGAAGGTGTACATCCTTTGAAGTATCTTAGACGGAAATATCGAGAAAATGTATTATTAATGTATTATTTTTACAGCCTCCTCTAGGTGGCTCTTTTTTAAGGATCTTTCCATTGGATGCCTTTGGGGAGGGCCCCCGCCGACCACTGCGTTGTGGTCTGTCTGAGCGCTGCTAACATTGTCTTTGAAGGTTTCTCCTGTGAACCTAACAGTGTGCTTTTTAGGGTTCTTCTGTTCGTTTGCTTCTCATCCAGCTGTGCAAATGCCGGAGCTGAATTGACTAGACAGCTGGAAGCCCCCTTCCCTCCCCCCCTCTGGAAAGCCCTCAACCCTCGGCTAGCCACGGGAAAAGATTACGTTTCAAGGTTACGTCGGTGTGGAAGTTAGTCTGACATGCATGTTTATTCCTGCATTACGGCTCCTTCAAAAGAGCCCCTTAGGACAAAGCAGCTACAGTAAAAGTATGCGCGGCTAAAAGCTGCGAGTGGAGTGGTTCCGTCCACTCATGTAGAAGACATTTTTTGAGTCCACATATGCATGCAGAGACAGAATTCATGACTCAGAAGCCACCCCCCAGCTCTCAGTGGAACAAGAATTACTTTCAAAGAATGCGAGTGCAGCAGTCGTGACACAACGCCTCCTTTGCTGGATACCGCATGCACAGGCGGCCACATCAGCTTAGAGCAGCTGACCCTCGTTTAGCGCGTGTGTTTCAAGGGCCCATGGAAGCCTCCTAGCTGCTGTAGCACATTCTGCAGCAGTTTCCTCCGGAAACCTCTGGGCTTGCATGGCATTCTGCAGACACAGAGCGCGGGGACTCCCTCCCTTGCCTCTCCCCGCAGCACAGGCACCATGGATCAACAGCTATCCTTCATGCTCGCACTAGCGTCCGAGCTCATATATGCAGACTGGGGTGCTGGTAGGCCTCTCCGGCAGCACGGGGGGTGGATTGAGGAACTGCCCCTGGAAGAGGGCTCCACCCCCAGCGGTTCCTCGACGCCTCTCTCTGAGCCTTCCCAGGAAGAACTGGCTGTGTCTGTCTCTGCTAGCGCTTCGTTGAAAGCCTCTGCACATGCAGCACCAGAACGGAAGTTTGTTAGAGAAATGGCTCACCAGGCGCCTATTCACGACAGTAGGCAGCGATTCCCCCTCCCCCAGACTCCCTGGGTTTCTTAGTGTTTGTCCAGTCGGCAAATGAGAGAGGATCCACCCGCCCTCCCCCATTTTTTTGATTTTCTAAGAGGAAGGGGTAGCTGCCTCCAAAGTGTATGCCTGGTGCAGACTTGAAACAAGTTGGGGCCTATTTGCCTCTTTTGCTTGAAAGCATGTGTGTGCACTCCTGTGGCTTCCCGCTTGGACTGGCTGCTGCTACAGCCGAATCTCTCTGTCTCTTGCTCTGCGATGCATATTGTATTTCTCCTTTTTTTGGCTTGCTTCAGTGCTGGCCCCCCAGCGAGAGTCCCGAGCCCTGGAGAGTGCCCGAACGCTTATAGAGCAGCAGAAAGAGAGGATCGAATCTCTAACAGAAACAGTGATGCGACTACAGCATACCAAAGGAGATAGCCAGGTGAGGCTTCAAAAGGACCTGCAAGTGTACATCCACGAGAACCAAAGGCTCCGACTTCAGCTCGATTCCATGAAAGCTGAGATTGCTGCTCTTGAGCAAGTCAGACACAGGGAAGAAAAGGAAGTGCAGGAAGTCGTTGAGGCCCTTGCAGCAGCTGAAAAAGGCATCGCCGACAGAGACTCTCTCATAAAAAGACTGCAGGTATGCTGTGAATTCGGCTTACAGCTTTACGCTAGAGGGTGTGGCGCTTTGGTTTTCATGTTGGAGCTCGTATTTTGTTATTTCGTGCTCCACAGAGAGAAGATAAAACAGCGGAAAACGAGAAACTTAAAGAGGACCAGCAGCGACTGCTTACGCGCCTAAGCAAGCTGCAGAAGCTGACGGGCACAGCAGGAGATGAGTCGTATGAAGGACGCTCTCCAGAAGACGTAAGAGAGTCGCTATAGTTCATTCTAGAGACCCTTTAAGGGCGTTGCGGGCCATGCCTGGTTGTAGCTAGGCACCTTGCTGGCGTATTCGCAAGCATACAAGCTAGCCAGGCAGAGAGCACTGCCGAACAGGATAGCTGGGAGGCTGGAGTTCCCATCTCCCAATGGACTGGGCAGTTGTTCTCTGAGGTCTTAGGCATCATTTTATGAGAGGGCAACTTTCTGCCGGCTCTACGTTGCTGGTGCGTTTGGTTGAAACTTCAGCTGGCGGAGCAGCTCGTAAAAGTCCAGAGGGAAGTGGAGCTGCACAGAGGGACTACACGGCAACTAGGTCACACTACGGAGGGTGCGTCTATCCCGAAGAATCGGGCAGTGCCTGCTTGTTTGTTGACTCTCGTGCATGTTACTCTGACTGCATGCGCACTGGAGGCCTCCCACCATTTGAAAGGCAGGAGGAACTCCTCCTCAAGGGGCCAAAGACGCAACAGCTGAGTCTATCTGTAATCTCCGGCTCCTTTTTGTGCCGTTCCTCCTTGAACACTTCTTTTGGTGCTCGTATGCACTTCTGCTCGGCCGTAGGCGTGTGCGGTGTCTGGACAGCTAAGCTCACGTGCATGCCTGCATGCAAGCCCTCTCTGATGGGCACATGCCTGCATGCAAGCTCTCTTCTTCATCGACCCCCGTACACAGTGCTGTTTGTAGAGGCGCATGCGTGCGCCCTGGCAACGAACATGCTACGTTCATTACACCTTTATCTCCTGTGCTGTCTTCGGTTGGGTTGCAGAGCTCCGGATCTCCAAGATGTGCCTCGTACAAGCAGAAGCGTAAAGCATCCCTGCAGTTTCATGCCGCTTGAAGCTACATAAAAATATGCCCTAAGCGTCCTTGCTTTAGAGCGTTGCGTTCGAAGTGGACTAGGCTATTTTCGTAGCGTGGAACGGCGCTTCAGTCCTTTAGCTTTGGGACATAAGAGTCGTTGTTTATTTCCTCTGGAGTACAAGAAGCAAGAGACATAGAGAAATCGATGCTTGGTTGAGAGGCTCTTGAACTGAGACCTCATGACATAGGGTCCTATGGGCGCTGTGTGCAGGAACCTGCTAGAGGGGCAGAAGCTCATTGAAGAGCAACGCGCAGAGATCCAAAGGCTCTACAAAATTGTAGGGCTGTTTTCTGCTTCTTCATGCTCCCTCCTTTCTTTTCCCTAGTGGCATGCTCTACAAAGTCTGGTGAGTCTGGTACAGGGTTCACGGCTTGTATCTGGACTGGTAGTGAGTTTGCTGTGTTTTATGTTAGGTAGAGGCCCTCAACAGAGAGAAGGCTTTAACGCCACCGGTGGTGCTGACGCTGCCAAAGCACTTACGGGGAGTTGGAATAGAGCAGCTCGAGGCTCTCTCTACCAAAATGGGCCAAATCTTGCAGGCCCTAGACAGGGAACGGAAGAGTAAGGGTTTGGACGTGCAGCTGAGGGTGAACATTGTTGGGATAAGGCTGTAGGGGTCGTGGCAGCGAGGCGGAGAGGTGGAGCGGCGGCAAGAAGAGCTTTTAAGCGGAAGGCAGCATTAGAGGAGGAAGGGGAGCGACAGCGGCGTTTTTCTCTCTGTGCTGAGCAAGCAGAGTCTCTGAACCTGTTTTGATCTTTGTTGCTCTTGTCGGTGCGCAGTGGCCGGAGCCGATGAGAGGGAAGAAAGGACCTCAATGGCTCTTTTACAGCAACGCATGATGGAAGAACAGCAAGCCCTTCTTAAGCGGCAAGTGTCTGATGTCTCCTGCACGAGTTCCCTCGCAAGTCCTTTCATGTGGACCCTACGGACCACCGTCTCGCGCTGCCTCTTGTTAATCCCAGCGTAGCTGCACTGCGCTCCCTCAACAATTTGCTGGGAAAGGCTCAGCAACTGCACTCCTCTAAAAGCCTTGAATGCCCATCTTCTACTGTGTTCTCTCTGCCGTTTTACTCAGCCTCTTGGAAAATGTAGATCGACTTGGAGAACGTGGCCCGGAAAGAGGAGAATCCGTCGGTGTTACCCTGCTCGCCAGTAGCTAGACAGCTAGCTAGCCAACCAGCCAGCGGCTAGCCAATGGCCCGCACAGCTGTCTCAGGGTCTGGGATTTGCATGGATGTGCTGCTGTGTGTGAACAGTGGAAGATTGATGGGGCTTTCTTCTACTCTGGTAGGTCCTCGGCTAGGCGCCGACTTGCATAAAGTGCTTGTAAAGCTGGTAAAGAAGCAAATATTGCTGGGGGGTATTTATATGCCTCTCAGTTGGGCACCTGCGCTCCTCTGCTGATTTCTGACGCCTAGAGCTGTTGACCTTGGGCCTGAAGAGGGAGAAGCAGAAGCCGTGGGAAGGCAGGGCTGTATGTAGCGCGTGCCAGAGAAAATTGGCTTGACACGTGCAATGTGTGTCAAATCATGCGCAGGGACTGTGTTGCACGCGTGCATGGGGTCGCTTGACGAGGATGCAGACTATAGAGAGAAGTGAAGCCCTGCCAGTTGAATTACCGCTCGCGCTGCTATCGTTCTGTCGTTGTGGTTGTTGCTGCCGCCCCGCCTGAGAAGAACATCGATAGTACTTCTTTCTTGCGTTTTTTTCTCGTCACCTGACCTGCAGAGTCATGGCTGTCAATGAGGGCACACTTCTTCTCTTCTACGATCCAAAGGTAAGCAAGAGAGCGACGCTCAGTGTTTGCAGGGGCGGCGATTTCCCGCAGACAGGTGCAAGTGCTTAGCGTTCGTACAATTTTCGCACCGCTGCTGATGGCCGTTTTCCACGGGAGTATAGGCAGCAACACAACGCACGACACTGGGGTTGTCACAAGGATCGCCGGAACGGATTGATGAGCGGCTAACAAATAAGCATAAAAACAATTCTTTTTTGCTTTCTTTCTCCCAATCTCCCCCTTCAACAGGATGAAGAACCCACAGCCATTCTACGCCCTCACAAGATGGTGAGCCTTGCCGTCGATGCCTCCGCCCTCCTCATCACTCTGGTCTATGAGCCTTGCCCAGGGCGCTCGGAGACCCACTTGTTCAAGTTCAGGACTGATGATGAGCTGAACAGGTACGAATCAATTCCAAGAGCTAGCCACCCCAAGACTAGCCAACGACAAGTCGAAAGATCCAGCTACCCAAACCCTTTGAAGAAACATGACAATGACACAGACAGGACTTCAGCTCATGATCGACAGTCGCAGCCGCGCAGCCTCCGCTAGCGAGGATGCGTTGCGCATACTTACCTTATGGCCAGGCAGTTCGCCACCAGAGGCCACATTCTGGGTCATACACATCCATCCAAATACTCACACACACACACACATACACATACACATACGCACACACACACACACACACAAACACCCCTGCAGCTACGTTTGCATTGCCTGGCGCTGCCAATGGAGCGTTGCTGTCGGTCTCCAGAATAATTCAGTTTGTTTGCCTGAAGTCCTACGTTCCTACGTTTTATTCAGGTGGCACCACGCGCTGGCATACGGTGGTTTCATTAGGGCCGCTCCCCTGGTGCAGCATGCATTGCCTCCCTCGACAGTCCCACCATCCAGCGAGGCCCCTTCAACACCAAAGGAAGAAATGCTAGTATCTGTGAACATCCCAGATGGCATTGGCTTTGACGGTGCTCCAACATTATCAGAAAGGCACAACGGGTCCGACAGAACAATGAAGCTGCTGCTGCTTCTACTGGCGGCGCCGCTATTCTTACTAACACTGCGGGTGGCGTGCAAGTGTTTGCTGATGCATGCTGATAATACAAGCCATTGCTGACTGAGTCAAGGGCAGGAAAACTGTTTTCTGTTACGAATGTGTGCTTACAGACGGGTGCAGTACAACAAGGCGCGAAATATGCTTATCATCACGTCACCTGAAGTAATTATGTGCCCTCGGCGCTCACTTGCATCCCTTTTGCCGTTTCCCTCACTGAAGGATAACTTCAGCTTGCAGAAAGAAACACTAGGGCTTTGGGAGTAGGGCACGGAGAGGGTCGGCGCACTATAGGGTGTCGACTATAATTGGGTGTCTAGCCCAATACAGTTCATATGCCTTAACACGTCTGTCTATGCCCGTTTGCATGCAAGCATGGCCACATACACCACAGCATTAGCCCATCCATGCAGGCATATATTCTGTGCTTCAATCTTTCTTTTGTATCCATATGCATAGACCAATATGTAGTGATGTGTATCCCTTCTCTGTACACGAATGACGCTGTATTCCTCTGGTTAACTCAATGTAGGGTGCAATAAGGGCAACCTCCACGCGCACGCGTATGATTCATCCACTTGTTCCTTTTATGCAGCGTTGCGCCGCATATACCATATATGAAGGTACGACTGGCTACCCCTAGTCTTTGTTTTGTGCGTTCATAGGATCCTACGCCCCTGCTGATTCCCTGCGCACAAGTCAAGATGACTCCTGACACGCAGCAGCACTCCATCGTCTTCAAATCAATTGAGGCAAGAAACTGAAAGTCATGAGACCCTTTATGTTGCGGATGGATTGGCATTCTCTGAGTTTTGCACGAGCTCCAGCCTCCTTTGCCGTCGCATAGAGCGCGTAGCCATGCCGCTTCCAAAAGTCCGTGCTCATCTTTCGCTTTGGCTTATTGTATTTATAGGAGCCCGATAAAATGATCACTGTAACCACTCAGGAGAAATTCTACTTGGAGTATGTCTTTCCCCTGCACCCAGCACACTGCAATTCTTTGTTAGGGGGGGCATAGCGAAACAACTGGTGGATCTGAGCAGCATCTGGGCGTCTCGGCATCCCCTAATGTGCCACTTCTCAGACTCGTGGGGATCGCTGGGATGGGTACATACTATCAACCTCCGGTGAAAAAGGAACCACCACCACCCCCCGTTGCAAAACCTAAGGAACCTCCTCCGCCGCCTCCTGAACCGGAAGCTCCGGAAGAGAACGAGTGCGTTAGCTATCGCATGTGCCTTGTGTGTGGCATAATGGCACAGTTCTGCCGGCCTGTCTCTCCAAATATACTGCCTTTCCTTATTGGAGGCTGCGTGCACTTTCCCCAATCAGTAGGAGGTAGCTGCACGTGGCAGCCGGGCCAGTGCTAGGCATGTGTTACGCCGTTTTTCAGGCTCTTTGTTATTCGGGATGGCAATTTGATGCTTTTCGAAAAACAAGGGGATACTCAGCCAATCCTGAAGCTTCACCATGCGGACTGCGCAACGCATGCAGACCCAGTCAACCGGGAGTTCATTATTACGCACAAGGTAAGAGCGTTCTTATAGCAATGCATTTACTGTTGCACCTGATGCAGTGGTTCATATTATATCTGGGAAGGGGCTTGCTTTCGGCCTAAGTGGTTAGGGCTCACGGTTTCAAAGTTCTGCTTGGCGAATGAGTGAGTGGCGCAATGGATAGCGCGTCGCCCTCCGGAGGCGGAGGTTGCGGGTTCGAGTCCCGTCTCGCTCTATCTCTTTCTATCTCCACTGATTGTAACTGATTTTTGCATTTCTTTATTTGCCATATAGATTCAATCATTACTATTTTGCAAATATTCCGTTTTGCGAAAGGCCTTGTACCCCACAACTCCACGTTAGTGTGCACTCGTCGTGCCTATGAGCTGCACCTGCAATGGGCAATGGGCGCTCTCTTTGTTGCATTGGAATTTTTGTCTGGTTTATGAAGCGATATTTTATGTTATCATCTTTCTGCTACAATGGTAGAATGCTCTCAAATGGATAGATCAGGAGCATGTGGACGACCCCTCTGAAATTCCCGACCTTGCAGTCCATCGATACATCTTGTGTGGCCTACGCGTTCTCTGCAGCCAGGGACCCCCGAAGAAGAAACCTACGTCTTTTCCTTCCCAACTGACGATGTCTACAAGGGGTTTGTTTTTCACTTCCAATCTTAATTGCATTTCAAGTTGCTGGTGCCAGATATGGGTTTATTTTATAGGCATGTCCCTTCGAAGTGTGACCGAGTCATAAGGCACCTTCGAGCCTCGAGCCGGGTACCCCTTTAGAGGAGATTACTCTTATTCTTTACCTTTACCTCAAATGCTGCCTCACATCGGGGGACTGTTTTTTCTGCAGCTGGTACAAGAAGCTTGAGGAAAATGGATTCCTCATGAGGAAGGGTGACCACAGGGGACGCACTTCAAATCAGTGAGTTGTACATGAATGTCCACTGAGTTGGAATCTCCGTGTAAAAACGGTCTTATATCATGGCTTTCTCATGTGTGGTATTGCCCGTGACAGCGATAGTAAGGGGTCGTTGAGTAGACTTTCGAAAGCGGCTGAAACGAGTAGCTTCCGATTAGTTCGTTCCTCGTTCGTTGGCGCAAGGCGTGCATCCACTCCAACTGGCTCAGATTAAGCGTTAGTGTGCGTTATTTAATTGGTAAACAAGCCTACCGTTTTTTCTGGCGGGTCCATGAGGCTATAGCCGTTTTGTCTCTGGACGTCTTTCAGGGTTGGTGTGGTATCTAAAGGCTGTCTCGATCTATATAAGGACTACGGAACCCCCGACGCCAAACCCGTCATAACACTTATGGCCAACAGATGCAGCGCAACCGCCAGTAGGGAGCGAAGAGAAATACGCATCATCCATACGGTTAGGCTTCTATTCGCGCCTCCCCCCGTAGACCCCTGTACACCAGCGAACGGCCAAAAGCCCTCCAGTGTCCGAACACCTTCTCTGCTCCATGCTTCTTTCTCTTCCTGCGCGGACGTGTGCAGAGCCCTACTGGGAAGCGCGAACGCATTACGTTGGATTGCGCAAGTGTGGCAGAGTTCGACAGGTAGGGCACCTCTCGGCCATTTCACAGCGTGGTGCCCATATTAAATCAACAAAAAATCTCATTTTCTTTGCAGCTGTATCTTCTTCGCCCCTCTTCCCAGCTGCAAGCTCTCCTTTATGCTGCAAGGAACTCGGAACGAAGGTTTGTGCAGCATCTGCGACCAATCCCTTGCCTCCCCCCTGTATGCGACTGTCTCGCTGCAGATGGAACGTAGCTCTGCATTTCGGTAACTTCCTCAAGGGCGATGACATTACAGGCACGGGATCCCAGACTTACGCAAATCTATCTAAGTGCGTTCAAGCAGGTGCTATTGATTCCACGTTCCATACCTGCGCTTTGACCTTTCTATCCTTCTCTTTTGGGAGCTTCCCAAAAGGAAGCACTCATAGATGCACTGGACTGGACCGTCTCCTTCGGGGAAGTAGGGTCGCTCATGGAGCGCAAGAGGGCACTTCCAGTCTTCTTTTCCCTGAAGTGGGGACCTACTTAATCGAGACCCCCAGGTGTTCGTAGATATATCAACGAATCTACGTGCGTATGGCTATCCGTTTTCTCGTTTTGATTAGTCCGAGGAGTACTAATTGCATAAAAACGTCATTCTTGTTGACGAGTCTACTTGCTCTACTTCAGATACGTGTTCCCCATCAATCTATTCGAAGACGCCTCTGGAAGAAGGTCGGCCCTGCTCATCGAGAACCGGATGATTATGCTCTTCCCAGCCCCCGAAGTAAAACACCCTTCCCCTTCCCCTTATCAAGTAGTGCACCCTTTCGGCTGTTCCTTGGTTACCCTGAAATCTGCACCTGCTTTTGTCACCCGCTTTTGCTCTGATCCATGACTGAAGCTTCGACTCCCGCAACGAAACCGGTGACATCCCAGTCTGTACACTTGAGTGCTTCTCTTCTCAGGCCACGGAGCCAGTCCTCTGCGCCTCCGCAGACGAGTGCGAAGTGCAGCCAGTAATTAGTCAACGCAAGCTCAGAGTTTATGTGAATGTAAGTCATTGGTGCTGGTGGCGGCAGTGGTGACGGTGGTGATAGCCGTTTGGAGAGAAATTATCAAGGCGGGCTTCCAGAGCTTATGGGCAGTCTGTGAAACCGTAGAGGCACGACAGTCTAGGGAGGGAACAGGGATGGCTGCTTTTCTATACCCCATTCAGCTCGCCATAGAGAGTGTGTGTGGAGAGGAGAGGCTCAAGAGGTGGCTGTCTCTCTGTCTGGACTGGCTAGATCCCTAAAAGCACGAAGCCTTAACCGGTAAAAGTTACTCTCGCGTGATGGGCATTTATTTTGCAGCGCAACACCAGACGGGAGCAGCGTATTGACTTCATCCTTGCACTTGCTAAAGACTTTGACAGGTGCAGCCCGACGCTCAATTCGGGACTTGGGGTTTACCAGTTGGATTTTGGGGATTGTCGTCACATGCAAGTGTTAGTGACCGTTCCGCAGGGTCGTGTGCTTTCTGGTTTTCCGACCTTGCACAAGTACATGCTGCTGTCTCTGCATCCCGCGTTTGCTCCTGGTTTGCTTATGGTGGGGTTCCCTAAAGAAGAAGTGCCACCTCCGAATGTTCGACGCTTCAGGATTTGGTGTGTCGCACAGGTATGTTGCAGCATGCCAGAGAGACTCCTTTCCAGAAGCTGTCGTTGGGAAGCCCATGGAGAAGCTGGCAATCCCGTAAGGCCTTTCGCGTTCCCTTTCCTTCCGCTTCGATTCGCCCGTCCTTGCCACTGTCTCTTCTCGGCACGGTGCTCTTCTCGTTTTGTCGTGTTCGCCTTCACGACACTACCTTTGCTGCATAATCAGCGCAGAGAACGTGAAGAACACGTTAAAAGAACCACGGAGGGCGAGAGACGTTATAGGTACCCCTCTAGCACGGGGTCTATCTTTGAAATGTAGTTTGGAGAAAGAAGTCTGTGGGTTTTGCTTCCTCACAGATTCGTTTTGTGTAGAAAAGGCTTGATGGCTGTCTACAAAAGCAAATTCGTGCGTTTCCTGTTGTCAATCTTCCTCTCGACTCCTCTGAGGCATCCCCGGCAGCGTCTCTCTGCCTTTTCTCCCCTTCCCCTCCTTGCCGTTCCTCGGGCTTCTGGTCCACCCGTCTACTGACACCTTCACCTGTGCGCGACGCAGCCTGGCCTGATGGGGTGTTTGTCGCTGCGTGCAGCATGCGCATGCGGAGCTGACTTTGGAGGTCCCAAAGTACACCTTGTCCGAGGAGGGCACCTCCTACGTCTTCGTATCCAATGAGGGAAAGGTGCGAAATTCTCAGCTAGCTCAAACTTTTTTCAAGTTTCCGCAGTAGCACATAATCAGCCTTTGTGTGCACTCACAGGGACATATCGCCATAATGAACAACGCAGGTGTTCTTATGCTGTTCAGGATATAGCAAGAAGAGTGAACGTGATTTCTGCGGATTCACGAGAGAGGTATGCTGGATGAATGTCATTTTCTGCACTAAGCAGGGAAAGACTTAATGCAGCATACGGGGAATTTCACTAGCTGGACAATCGAGAGTCATGTCTGCTGCCGCTGCCTTCTTGCTGCCGCTGTTACTATTGTTGCATTATGACTAGAAAACTAGCAGTCCTCTATAAATAGAGGTATTCAGGCATGCATCCGCCCTGTCATTACGAGATGGACGTGTAAATGGGATACTTCGTGTGTGCGAAAGTACGCCGGCGATCTGGTGCTTGTTTCTCCTTGAAAGAACTTTTTATGAGATCTGATACTTTGACGGGATTCGAAATGTGCCAAGCCTCAACAGTCATACTCTCTGTGCATTTGGAATTCTTCGCACCAGTTTGTTTCAATGCGTTTCGGAATAACTCTCTTGCTGGTGTGCCTGCACTTACACATGACTAATGCATGCAGATGGGAGTTCGCCCTAAAGCTAGCAGGTTTTAAAGCCTTTTCCAAGTCTCAACTGCCCAGATTTTTCTTCCCTCAAATCATGTGAGCTGCAGAGTAACACATTACCACCTCCACTGTGATCCTTGCCCCATCATATCCTGCTATGCACACATATAGTGTTTGTTTTACATGAAGCGCGCATTGCTAAGGCTAAGGAAACGCCTAATGCACCGCGAACCAGTCCAACTGGCTTCTTTTCTTGCGCGTTGTGCATGCAGCTATGGATTTGTGGCGGAGGAAGCGGCGGAGCTGCGGAAGGACAGCTTCCTCGGTAGCGCCAGAGCTGCCCTCGGGCTTCTCCAGGCCAACAGAGAGGCCAGCAGGTCGGCCCAGCTCGACCAGAGCATACAGCGCCCAGACGGGTAATGTGGCGATCCTAGTGCTCCATCCAGTCAAATGTACTCTGGGGCTCATTAGGGTTGCGGGCAGGTGGCAGGCTGTGGGAGCGCTTTCCCCTTTGGCAGTTCTTCCAAAACTCCTGGCACTTTACACTTGCCCATTCACAGTTTTCTTTTCCTCGCCTGCACAGCTACTTCAGCAACACCACAACAGGTGCCTCTAAGGCCATTGGGTTAGATATTAAGTCAAATACGGAGCAGATGAGGACGGGGGGCCTCCAACTCGGTTTCTGGGTTATGTCGATGTGGTGGAACAGTATTTAATAGAGTGAATGGAATAAGCTATAGAAAAAGCACCCAGAGCTGTCTTAGCAAAGGTCATTGTTCCATGCTTCTAGGTATGGTGTGCAGCTAAGAGGGATTGGCATGCCCCGCGTGTGGCTGTGCCCCCTGTAGAGTTTGTTCCATTGTAAACCTCTTTTAGGTTAGCCCCGAAGTCATCTGGATAGACGTTTTGCATGGGGTCTACTCTAGCCATCGCCGCAATATTAAACGGGACCTATGGCAGTGTAGGACACGCACGCACTTCGAGAAGGTAGGGAAGGCGCATATGCTGTATACGCGACTGACGGTGGTATCTGGGCTGCAGTACACTCCGGAATTAATCGGACTACATATCCCAAAGTGAGCAAATGCATAGCGCTTTGGGTCACACAGGTGAAATTAGTGGCAAAGTGCAGTATTTGCAAAAGATCTATCGTTCACATTACCAGTATGAGCCGCTACCCATGATCGCCACGCATGACTGCTTTTGAGGCATTTACAGAATACACACTTAGACACTATCCAGGGAAAGAAAACACATTGTGCCCACCCTAAGCACTGTGTGCATCCTCCTAACGGGCCATGTAACTCAAGCGGCTGGCAGCAGCGTGGAGTCGAGGCATGTCAGTCGCTCTGCTGCATTGTGCTATCTTACCAGTGGAATTGTATCTTGTCATGTCTAGAGAGCGTGCATCTGGGCTGACTGTATTTATATTGGAAGCTTCCTAACCCGCAACGATTGGTATCCTTCAGCACGCAGCTACTACCTACGTCTCGATAAATCCAAAGACCTGATACTCCATTGATACGCTGTATTATTGCATTTATTATTGTAATAATCAAGATATCCTTGACAATCACACATAAAGCATACATCGATAAGGCGAAAAACGCACTTACACGCAGCGCGACCTAGTCCAACTGGCTCGTTTTCTCCAGCGTCGGCCATGCATTCGCATGCACTAGCTGACTGCTCTCTCAATTATTCCTCCGAAAAAGGTAGTAGCTGATCCTAGACCACTAAATCCAAGCCCGGATCAGAGAAGCGCTTCTCCATGTAGACCAAGGATGCGAAAGAACAGTGGAACACGAGTGTACTGCTTTTTACAGACCCACTCAGCACAAGGCAAAAGCTCAAGCGAAGCAATTAAACTTCTTAAAGCACAGAGTCGCAAGCACTACAT